ACAACCCCAACTTTTGATTTTTAAATGGGACACCCTGTATTTTATTCCTTAATCGGTTAAGGATTGTCATAAGGAATTCATGTATACCGGGTTTGATAGGGTTATTATTTCAAATGATTATGCAGATATTCATGTTCTAAGTTTCTATACAGGGTGGCCCACGGTCGATGGTACCTTGGACGTATACGGAAAACGGTACATTGGATTATCCTGAAAATTTGGTTACTCTAATAAGCGTTTGTGATCTAACGATTCAAAATATTTTCAGCGATGCAGCGTTGCCACTTTTACCAAAAAGTAGCATCATCTTTGTTATTTCAAATGGAACACCCTGTATTTCATTGCGTATTTAGATTCTTCTCGAAGAGCTTATTTCATCAATGCATCACACTTGGAGGAGATATAGGGTGTTCAAAATCGAGATTTTTCAATTTCAGGAATTTTTTGTTTTGAAACTATTCATTTTCGATCAAAACGGCTTACATGTCCCTAACTTAACTTTTGATTCACTATCTACTGACATTTAATTGCAATAGATACAGGGTGATCAAAATTCTGAATCTTGGACCATCCTGTATTTGTTCCAATTAAATGTTGGTAGATAGTTAATCAAAAGTCAATATAGGGACATGTAAGCCGTTTTGACCAATGATGAATAGTTTCGACACAAAAAAATCCTAAAGTTGAAAAATCTCGATTTTGAACACCCTATATCTCTGTAATAATTCCTGCTAGACCCCAAGTGTGATACATTGATTAAATCAGCTCTTCGAGAAGAATCTAAAAACGCAATTAAATACAGGGTGTTTCATTTGAAATAACAAAGATGATGCTACTTTTTGGTAAAAGTGGCAACGCTGCTCCGCTGAAAATATTATGAATTGTTAGATCACAAACGCTTATTAGAGTAACCAAATTTTCAGGATAATCCAATGTACCGTTTTCCGTATACGTCTAAGGTACCATCGACCGTGGGCCACCCTGTATGCTCAATGGGTGTGACAGAGAAAGAAGTTTTGATACTGTGAAGTAATTGTTGGAAATAACCCTATCAAATTCAGTATTGTCGAATTCGTCATGATAATTCCTAACCGATTATGGAATACAATACAGGGTGTCCCATTTAAAAATCATAAGTTGAGGTCGTTTCCGGTGATACTGGAAGTGTGAGAAGAAAAATTGTTTATCATCAATTAAAGAGCAATTTGGTATACTTGCTACCCCCCAATTTTAAAACCCTAGGAACGCACGATGTTCTTTGAACATTATAGGGATTCCCTTTCGTGCGCTCCAAGCAATAAAAAAATGAAAAAAAAATCAAAAGTTACAATCCTGACCGTTTTTTGTGCACTTCTATGTATATCAAGAGGAGACTAGACAAAATTTCCTAGTTGTGAATTTAATTATCCAGTGTTTAAAAAAAAAGGTAGCTTTAATTTATTTTTGTTAATTTCAGAGCAGCTAGGCGTTGTATTAGGTAGTTTTAATGTTATGGAAAATGATGTCTCGAAAGTGTACAATAAAGTGGCCTGCAACTGCAAAAATTTCTCGAAACTTTTTTACTAAGATGTAAAGAAGTAGGCATTAGGTAATATTTGTGGAATGTCCTATATTTTAGTGGTTTTCATACAACACTTTAATATAGTCAAAGACTTTATCAAGGACTTTTTATGCATGTAACAAAATGCATGGCATTCCACTTCATGGATAAGTTATGTTCATATTTCCTATCCTTTCGTTACACATTTTATGAAATTGTGTGCAGAAACATTCCACATGATGGTGAGGAATCTCAAATTATTTGAAAGCGTCATTTTTCGGAGGTTATTGAACAAAAGTTACCTAGTATGTGTTTTATATTAACATTTTACTACTGCCAAATTCCAAATCTATACCATAGGTTACTTGTTTATAGGTATATTTGAATTTAGTCTTAGGCCCATAATATTGTGAAGAAATGTGATTGTGATCAATATTTTTACCATTCATTAATTTATTTGTTTTATCCTATTTTTGACCAAAAAATAATTAATAAGTGTATAATCTAAGTTTAGGTAGCTGTTTGCCCTAGATTCAAATAGTTTTTTATATATATATATCTGAATGTTCAAATATACATTTTTATTAAGTAATTGGTTTTACTGCCTTGTGGTCTTTGAGAGGATTTAGCTTCTCTAGGACCCACTTTTCGACCCATGTTCAATTGGTATTTATCTACTTATACTGATCAACAAAATAAACGTCTTGGTCCAAAATCGAATTTTCATGGATCCTGATTTATTTCAAATTTGTTTTCACAGTTGGATGGCTCAATCTTTCAGTTACTCATCAGAGCAATAAAAGATATATCTTTTTGGAATAATTGAATAACATCAAATGGTCATATTGTTATTTTGGCGAATTCACATTGTGTGAAAAATAATTGTGAGATTCGATGAAGGAAAAAAGATCTCTTCAGATGAAACATGGTTTTCTCAATTCCATATAGATGAAATTATTTAGATTCACACGATATGATGCATCTTGGTGATTTTTTGAAAACTCGGGGAGTATGAGTCAGCGATTGCGCCTTAGAAATTTAGAGTTTGATGAAATACGAATAATGCGAGGCAATCATGCAAACAGATGAACTCAGTTGCCTTTTTTATCGCTTGGAGCGCACGAAAGGAAATCTCTATAATGTTCAAAGAACATCGTGCGTTCCTAGGGAGGATAGGGACAGGAGGTAGGTATTGGAATTGTTTTTGAACTTCTGGAGATTGTATGTTGTTGGGAATACCTCCTCCGGCAATGAATTCCAGAGCCTAGCCGTTCTATGGATGAAGGAGTTTTGATAAAGTGCTGTTCGACATCTTTCGAGGTTGACAACGAAAGGATGTGCTGACTGGGCTTGTCTAGTTCGTCTGACTGGTATTGTTAGTGAAGAGATGATAGCAGAGATTTCCGAAGAACATTTCCCGTGGAAGTATCTAGAAAAGTGAAAGGTCGCCGAACTTTCTACGGTGTTCCAATGATGTCAAAGAGTGAGTGACTGTAGCGTCACCCACCAGGCGAATGGCTCTTCTCTGGTTGGAATCTAAGGGCATCAGCGTATGTTTTGGTGCTGAACCCCATATGTGGGAACAGTATTCTAGAACAGACCGTATCTGCGCTTTGTAGATCATGAGAAGCTGTTGAGGTGTAAAGTAGCTTTTCGCACGGAACAAGAATCCGAGTTTTTGTGAAGCAGCTTCTGCGATGGATCTGAATGAAAGAAATCATGAAAGAGTGTTGCTTGGTGGAGATGGTGGTGCCAGAGATTACAATATCGGGCATACTGAGTTCCGCCTTTCTAGAGAAAATATAGGCTTGAGTTTTGGTGGCGTTGAATTCAACTAGGTCAACAGATCATTGATATGAAGAAGGAATAATGTTGGTGCCAAAATTAATCCTTGTGGAACGCCGGAATTGATGCCAATGGTATCAGACGATACACCGTCCACCACCACGTGAAGCGATCTGCCTGAAAAAAAACTCGATAAGAGATGGCATAGCTGAGGTGGTAAGCCGTATGATGGTAGTTTGTGGAGGAGTCCTTCGTGCCAAACACGGTCGAATGCTTTCGATATGTCCAACGCGACAGCTAGAGATTCCCCGTGTTTTTCTAATGAAGCTTGCCATAAATGGGTGACGTAGGCAAGTAGATCTCCAGCAGATCTTCGGTGTTGAAAGCCGTATTGCCCGTATTGTCTATCATTGATGATTCCTGAGCTCTCCAGATATTTGGTAAGCTCAATATTGATGGCTTTTTCCATCACTTTGGAGATTACTGATAACAGGGCAATGGACCTGTAGTTGTTGGGCAGGTTCTTGTTCCCTTTTTTAGGGATTGGTTGGGTTCTATATAGCTGTCTTTCAGCATGATAGAAAAATACCCAACCTGTACGAGACGGTAAACAACTTGCAGAGAATCGGTGTTAATTCTGGTGCACATTTTTTGAGGATAATGGGTCGAATTCCATCAGGACCGTTAGCCTTATTCGTTTTGAGACCAAGCAAAATTCGTCTGATAGTGCGTTGACGGAAGACGATTTCGGGCATTCGACTCTCAACAGGTGGAATGTCTGGCGGCACTTTTCCTTGGGAATCTGAAGTAGAGTTGTTACCATAATTCACAGAATCAAAGATTCAATAGCCGAAATATAAGTTTTTCCTTTAGTATATGATTACTAAGCACTCTCATAAGGTGATAAAAATATCATTAGATTCATTTTCACAATGATTAATTTTCAAAAATGTGAAAAAATCTATTTTTTCAGAAATGTAATGTGCGGAATTTCAACATCAGGAATCGAGAATTTTGTTTGAGTAGATACGAACTTTCTGACGAAGTTGCATAATACGAGGCGATCTAACAAATATATTGCATTATGATGAGACGAATATATCCACTAATGAAATAATGACTTTCTGATTCGATTCAATTGCATTCCGTGCGAGTATACACTATAATTATTCTTCTACGGCTGTAACAGATAACAGCGGCATTTTCGATTTCTTCGTCTTGTAGCAATCTGATTTCCTGTCAAGTAATGCTCATCTATGAGACAGAGATGTCGTTTCTTGAAATTTGACACTCCATGGGAGCGATGAGATGTTTTTTAAATAATAACACAATGGATGGTGATATCAGATACGGAAATAAAATTGCTGATATACAATGTACCTCATTGATGTATCGAACACAGTAAAACGAGAGCAATTTTGTGTTATAGCCGTAGAAAAAATATATTTGCTCAAACGGGAAAGTACCGACATCACTGCAATTTTACACTACTTCACTACAATTATTTGTAAGATTGGGCTATCCAACTGTGAGAACCGAATTGAAATTCGTTATGGTATCCATGAGTAATTTATTGTTTTTGAAATCAGCCTATATATATTTTGGACCACTACGTTTATTTTATTGATCAGTTTATTTAAAATTACAGAAACTCACGAAATGTATCTCCTAAGAATATCAAGTATTTTTGTACAACATCTTCTGTTGTGGAACTAACCCAAAAAGTTGGGTTCATTGGAGATGGTAGCATGGCAAAAGCTATATGCAGAGGTATCAAAAGAAAAGGTAAGCAATAAAAAATAGGAATTATGATTACCACAAACCAATAAGTGAATCCTGAAATACTTTTTTTTTAGTCAAATATTACATGCAAAATTACAGGGTTTCTATAAATGATCATAACATCGTAGTAGCTGTTGAAATATTTTCTCCATTTTCCGCCTTTCATTTATGGAGATTCACACATTCGAATATAATTTCTGACATCAATCATTATATATACTGTTGAAAAGAGGGATGGCTCATTCCTCGGAGCAGAATACATTTATTGTAATGTCTTATTGTCGAAATGGCACATTCATCAATGGTGGATGGAGTTACTCGGTAGTCGGTAGTAGCCTGTAAGGATGAGTTCCTGGCGAAATATCCTAATGTACAGATTCAAGAATCTTCTTTGAAAGCCCACATCAGAACAGTGATCAACAGATTCACCCAAACTGGAAATGTTAATAGAAAGAAATCAACAGGAAGGCCCCAAATAGTTGTCGAAAATCTATAAGGGCGCGTGTTGAGCAAATCCCCAAACGTCATTGAAGAGATTATCTTTACAATCTGGTGTGCCACTAAGTACATGCCATAAAGTGCTCAAGAAAAGATTGCATATGCACCCTTACAAGACCAGTGTACTACAGCAACTTCTGCCAATAGATATCCCACGTCGTCTGGAGTACTGCCAATGGTTCCAAAATAATCTCAACGATGACCATCAGCTATTGGACCTAACATTTTTCAGCGATGAGGCTTGGTTTCATTTGTTGGGATACGTGAACTTACAAAATTTTAGGTTTCGGAGATCTGAGAATCAAAACAATTTCATTGAGACTCCACTACATTCTCAAAAAATTGGGGTGTGGTTAGCAGTTTCTCGTAGGCGAATATATGGACCGATTTTTTTCGATGGCACTATCAATGGTGAAAGGTACAGACAAGTGATATATGTTAGAACCATTCATCAATCATCTTGAAGATAAAGAAATTCGAGTTGTCTATTTTCAGCAAGATGGGGCCACTGATGCCCACACCACACGTGCAAATTTAGAATATTTACAAGAATTTTATGATAACCGTGTGATAAGTCGAGGAGTTAATCCTTATTCTTTTCCAACACGTTCTCCAGATTTGACGCCTTTGGATTTCTGCCTTTTTGGATATTTGAAAGACGAAGTATTCAAGAGAGATAATAATAACCTTGAAGAGCTGCACGCCTCAATAACACATTGCTGCCAAAGAATATTGGCCCGCAAATGCTGAGGAACATTTTCGACAACAAACGGCGAACAGTTATGAAATGATTGGAGAACAACGGACAACATTTATGTAGGTTCACCGTTATTTATTACTTTTTTAATAAATATTTTTGATTTGTTCCATTATTTTTCAAACTCCAATATTGGGCTCTCCTTTCTTTCAGATACATTTCCATAGTGTATGCAAAACGACATTAAAAAAGATCCTGTATATGATCACTTCCTCTCTTTTTGGTCGTTAAATGTTGTTAACAGCATCAGTAGAAATAAGCAGCAAATGGAAAAAAATGTCAACATCCACGACGATGTTAATACGATCATTTATAGAGACCCTGTATAACCGGTGTATTTTAGAAAGTGAAAATTATTACCAGATTCATTTCAGGCCTGATCAAGTATTCTCAAGTGTACGTTTCTAGTCCGTACATAAAAAATTTGGACGTTTGGAAGGAACTTGGCGCCAATGTGTCTACAGATAATTCGGTGGTAGCGAAAGAAGCTGATATAATTTTTCTCGCTGTCAAGCCTCATATACTGGGCGGGGCCTTGAAGGAGTTGCAGGAAAGCCCCAATGCTTCAATGATCAGAAATAAACTTTTTATTTCTATTTTGGCAGGAATAACGGTCAATAATCTGGAAGAAGTGAGTATAGGTACATCCTATACAGGGTGGGACAATATTGCTTCAGAGCCCGATTGTTTTATTTATAGCTCTCTATCATGTATCATAAACAAATGTGAACTATAGAGATCAGGATCTAAAAACAGAAATTAGTGTCATCTAAACAGAGTGCACTTGACAAAATCAATATAGAGAGTCAAGGGTAATATTTTTGAATTGGATTCCATGTTTTTCATGTCACTTGAAACTAATGATTTTTTTGTCGAAATAATGTCAGCTCTAAATGCATACGTACCACATGCATTCAATTGATAGATGAATATGTGGAAAATTGTACAAAGGTTATAGCTAAAGATGATTTTTCAATGCAAAACTGTTTGAATAGATTTTTCTCGAGTTTTCAATTCGGAATATCCCGTATATTTTTCGTAAAATTAGAATTGTATAGGTATGATGTTCACCTTCATGGCTATACAATCCATGAAACAAAAAAGTTTTATTTTGAATTGCTCAATATAAAAAACTGAAGAAGATATCGGTGGCGCGATATGTTTTTTGATAATCCTGAAATCTCAAGATTGAAAGTGATTCTAGGGGAATTTCATGAATTGATTGCTAGCTGATACATGACAAACTGTTTCGGATTTCCAAGCCTCATCAGTTGCATTAGCCCAGTTGACAATCGATTTGATATTAATGTTAAATATTCTTAATTCACCTACCCGGTGATTGAATACTTCGTATGAAGGATGAAATATGGATCAGAATAGTGAAAATACTAATGTATCGTGGTACAATCAGAAAAAGAAGCTCAATCAGATATGACTTTTTATAGAATTAATTAATGACAAACTTGACAATACACATCAAACTAGAAACATACAGAGTAAATAAAAATTCAACTATATACAGCGTAAATATGGTTCCATGATCTGTAACATCCTCCCACCTTGAGTTGTTGTATACTCAGTTCAACAACTCAATCCACTACATAGAAAATTTTTGGACAGGTTTGACGGTCCTTCCATATCTTGTGGTGATAGGTTGTACTTCAAAGCTTTCATTTATTTATTTATTTATTTATTTAATAAGCACGGTCACTCAACAGACAGAACTTTAGAAGCTCGTCCTATAACAGAGTGACACAATATAACAAAATACATTACATATGAGCCTGATGGAATCATACAGAAAACCTAAAATTAACTTATACCTAATAAGAAAAAGAAGAAGAAAAACAGTGAGTTACTACTATGGGTTTATCAAATTCCAGTGCCTAATCAATAATAGTTAGAACATAGGAGAGATTTGAGATGCTTCTTGAACAGATTTATAGAATAATGAAAGATGTCTAAGTGGGTATTACAAACAAAATTATAGGAATTCATTGACCTTATTAATGGAGAGTTATTGTAATAATTGCTATCGAAAGTGCGTATGTAGAAGATTAGTCTATTTCTTGTGATGTAGGGGTTGCAATTAACTGAGTACTCAGAAGTTATGTAGTTAGCATCGATGAGATTATTGAATATTTTGTAAACAAAAAATATGTCGGAGAATTCTCTCCGGATAAATAAACGTTCAAATTTATAGAATCTGAGGTTATCATCATAACATTCGATCTTCTTTATCTTCTTCTTCCCTATCATGATCAATGTTTTCACTATGAGTCTTCTCTTCAGTGTCCCTCTTTTCTGGAGTGGAAGATAGATCTAAATCATTGCTGCAATTCAATTCTAAAGGATAAATTCTTTGTAGAGGTCTCAGCATTGATCCTTTAGCAGTCTTCAATTTTACCAATCTAGTTTTACTGTCCCGACCAGGTATTAATTCTTCAACATAAGCTAGAGGCCAATCTAACCTTTTTGAGTTATCAGCACCTATTAAAACAATATCACCAACTTTGATTTCTCTCTCGGAATGCTTTTTAGCAGATAATTTTAGTTGTCCTAAATATTCATTTCTAAATCGTCTTCGAAGATCATCCTTTAGTTTCATTCTGTATCTTAAATGCTTCTTCAAATCCGACCTCTCCACGGCATCTAAATCTGGAACTCCACATTCCAGAATCTCTTTTGTAAACATAGCAGGAGTCAGTGGAACAAGATCTCGGCTATCTTCATGCACATATGTGATCGGTCTCGAATTCACAATAGATTCGCAATCACATATAATAGTCGATAATTCCTCGTAGGTGAGACTGGCTCGTCCCAAAATTTTCCGGAGGAGATCTTTGATGATTTTGATCAACCTCTCCCACCATCCACCCCACCAAGAAGCCGTTGGAGGATTGAATTTCCAATCTATTCTCTCCACAGTACTGTACTCATTAATCATTTTCCAATCCAACTGTGAGAAAGCATTGTCGGCACCAACAAAATTCGTGCCATTATCGCTGTATACAGTCGACGGTCTCCCTCTTCTCGCCACAAATCTTCTGAATGATTGCAGAAAGACATCGGTGGACAGTGACGACAAGAGTTCTAAATGAACAGCTCGATAAATGGCACAAGTAAACAGGCATATCCATACCTTTTCCCCATTTCGAATGTAAAGGGGGCCAGCCAAATCTACACCTATGACTTCAAATATGTGAGCTTGTCGTACTCTATTTTCAGTCAGCGACACAGGTGGAACTTCTAAATGTTTGGCATTGAATCTACGGCATATCGTACACTTTGAGATTACAGTTCTCACTGCTTTTCTGCCTCTTATGATCCAAAATCTTTCTCGCAGAAAACTGAGCAAACCCTGAACACCAACGTGAAATAACTTCACGTGAGTTTCGTAAATCAGTTTACTCACGATGGGATGATTGGATGGTAGAATTGTTGGATAGCAGAAATCAGGAAAGTCCTTTCTCTCAGAAACCTTGGTTTGTATTCTAATGATACCATCATCATTTATGAAACAACAAAAACTCTTCAACTGAGCATCATCAGGCCCATTGAATGCTTCATTCTGCACAAATTTCAAGATACATTTTTCTGCCTGCTCTACTTCTACCAAAGATAATTCATCATCTGTAATCCTGGCATCCTTGTGACGACAATTTCCAATGAATCTTCTGATCCAACCAAGTACTCGGATAATTTTCCCGTATTTCGAAATTCTCTCGTGATACCAAGAAGAATCGGTAGTCGTAGATAAATTAGTGGATATGATATCTTTTCCTCTTTCAGATTCAATTGTCTCTTCATCCCTCTGGTAATTTTGATTAGGCCAGTTTTTCGGAGATTCCTTCAACCATCCAGGTCCCTCCCACCATTTCGAGCAAATCAGTTGTTTTGGGGAACAGCCACGGGAAGGAAGGTCTGCTGGATTGAGATTTCCAGGAACGTGATACCATGCATTTTTATTAGTCAGCTTTCTAATTTCTAGTACCCGATTCCAAACGAAAGACTTCCATTTCGTATCATCTTTTATCCAAGACAGGACTGCTGTGGAATCAGACCACCAGTAAACTAACAGATCAGGATCAATAATGTCAGTAATAGTTTTGGATAGTCTAGCTCCTATGGTAGCAGCCAACAACTCGAGCCGAGGTATGGTCATTCGCTTGACAGGAGAAACTCTGGATTTGGCTTGTACAAGCTGAACATTCACGCTGTCACACGTTTCAGATCTCAGGAAGATCGCTGCAGCATAAGCGTGTTGACTTGCGTCACAGAAAACATGCAAACTACAGTGATTTCTTCCATCAGTGGAACCAAATAACCATCTGGGGATTCTCAGGCTCAGAAGTGTCGGAATTTCCTCCACCCACTTCAAAAAACTTTTCTTGATATCTTCGTGTACTTCAGTGTCCCATTCTATCTTCAACTCCCATATCTTTTGCAATAATATTTTAGGCCAAAGGGAAACTGGGCACGAAAATCCTATAGGATCGAAAAGACGATGAGCAGTAGATAAAATAATACGTTTCGTAATAGTTTCTGTATTGATTTCTTGAAACCATTCTGAATTCAACTGCAAAGTATCTGAGTTTTTATTCCAGCAAAGTCCCAAAACTGAAGAAACATTGGTGTTTTCAAAATTACCTTCAATACTTGAATGCTCCCACCCTCTCAGGTCGAACTTGGCATCGGCAAATAACTCTGTGGAAACTTCAATGAAATTCTGGATTTCTTCCATACTATCCAGACTCGTGACACAGTTGTCCACATAAAAACTCTTGAGTAGTTGAATAATTATTAATCTTGTTTCATAATTCGTTGAACTTTCGAGGCAATTTTTGAGATGTGTTTCTATTACTGCTCCTAACAAGAATGGACTGCATGTAACTCCGAAAACTACCCTCGCATGTCGATAAGTTTTTAACACTCCTGTATGATCAAACCATAAGAAACGCAGGAAATCTCTTTCTTTGACATTTAAGCTTATTTGTAGAAAAGCTTTTCTTATGTCAGAAATGAGTCCAAATTTTGACATGCGAAATCTGATCAGCAAGGATGGGATCAACTCAATCAAATTTATGCCTTTTTCTAGACACTGGTTCAGAGATGGCTGATTTTTCTCTCTCGAAGAAGCATCAAAAACAGGCCGTATCTTGGTAGTTGCGCTGTTTTCATTCACAACATGACGGTGAGGTAAATAATGTCCCTCTTTCATCAAATCTGACTCAGGAACTTCTTCGATGATGCCCTCATTCATCCATTCTCTGAAAACCTGGTCATATCGGTCGTAATAACCATCGGTATTGAGTTTCTTCACCAAGGAATCGAGTCGTTTTCTGGCTATCCCATAGTTACTTGGCAAGGGAGGGTGATCTTCGATCCAAGACAAATGAACTTCATATCTGCCATCATTTTCTCTAGTGAGCGTATTTAAAAATTGATTCATGACAAATTCTTCGGTTTCTTGCTGTGTTTTCTTCTCTGCAGGATCAGATATACCAAGCACATCTAGATTCCATAAATCAGAAATCGAGTCGTTTTTCGAAAACATCGACATCACCATAGATGGTTCGGTCTTTTCATTGTTTTCGTCTTGAAGTTTCCCTATCAGTGTCCAACCTAACAGGGTTTCTAGTGCTACTAGGCCACAATCCAACTCGTAACGGTTTCCAGTCAACAATTTGCCGGCTATATCAGCACCAATTAAAACATCAATGGCCCCCTCTTGTGAATCTGTGATTTCAATACCAACAGAGTGTAACTTTTCAATCCATGGACCCTTACGAACACATGCAACATTGCTACATATGATAGAGTGGTCAAGTGCTTCGAAGTTGCAAGCATAATCATTCGTCAGGTTACTCAATCTTATACGATAGCAGTTATGTTTGACAGCATTCGTTTTCGAACCACCAAAGAGGGCATGGATAATTTCTTCTTGCCGCAAACAATCATAATCCATTTCTTCAGCTACTGCCTTCGCTATATATGAATGCTGAGACCCAGTATCTATAATCACTCGAACTGTCCTTGATTTATTGGAACCATTCAAATTGGCAACTAGAGTTTGCAGAAAAACTTCAGAATATGAGCTATTGGATAAATTGTTCTCTACACTCTTATTGACTACAGTTGACTTAGATGCTGGTTCATCAGGTTTCGGACACATAATGTCATGATGTCTCTCACCACAAATAGTACATGTCAAATTTACACGACATTTTCTAGAAATATGTCCATATTTCAAACATTGATGACAGCATCCTTTTTCCATCAATTTTTTCTTACGATCAGATAAAGACCATTTCTTGGCCTCTACGCAATGTTCAGTCAAATGGATACCACAACAAAAGTGACATTTCTTCTGAATGTTATTATTAATCAATCCAGAAGCGGTTGGCAGAACATGATGTTTGGGAGCATCATCTCTCTTCTTGGATCTGTTTTGAATTCCAAAACCTGACATTGCCAAAGTAATCCTCTCCTCATTTTCAACTTCCTTTCTAAGGAAATTCATCAATTTATCTAGGCGATTCTTGAGGGTAGAATCAGTATCGTAGAATGTACTCCTCTGCCATACTCGAATGAGATCTTCAGGTAGACAAGATTCCATCAGGGGATACAACATAGCCGCACAAGTTTCTGAGGTGACATCAAGAGTCTCCAAGGCTCGTAATTGGGATTCCATTTTGTCATAAAGAAAGCTAAGATTGTTATTGACTGAGAGATTGTTCAACACTAGCTTCAGCAACTCACGTACATAGAATTCTACGAGAAAATCTTTCCTTCCGAATCTGTTTTTCAGGCATTCAATTACTTTCGGGTAATTTTCTGCACTTGGAGGGTAGCTATCCACAAGCTGACGAGCTCTCGAATTTGGTATGGTTGCTTGAATCAAGTACTGAAACTTATCTTCCAAAGCAATGTCTTCATCATCGTCAACTCGTTGAAATTGGCTCCAGAAGGAGAGCCAGTCTCTTATTTCGCCACCAAACTTTTTGAATTCTATGGTCGGTAATTTGAGCTTTCTTCTGGAGTTACTAGAACACTGAGAGATATTGTCTGCAATAAAATCCTTACTAGAAAGATTTTCAGCCATCAGTTTCACTTTGAAATACTTTGCAGAATATTCATCAGCTAGTGTAATCTCCGATATCAAGGCATTTTCATCGTCCAACAGAAAATCCACAACCTGTTTATGTAAATCCATCAAAATTTCAATTTTCTGTTCTAGGAGGTTGATTTTACTGAATATACCAATCTTATCCTTATCTGTTTCGCTGAATAGATTCATGATGTCATAAAAAACTTGATCAAATGAACTTCTTTGAACCACAAGTACTTTCTTCGCCTTCTCCATAGTCGGGTGTCCTGTCACGGTCGCCAAATGTTAAATATTCTTAATTCACCTACCCGGTGATTGAATACTTCGTATGAAGGATGAAATATGGATCAGAATAGTGAAAATACTAATGTATCGTGGTACAATCAGAAAAAGAAGCTCAATCAGATATGACTTTTTATAGAATTAATTAATGACAAACTTGACAATACACATCAAACTAGAAACATACAGAGTAAATAAAAATTCAACTATATACAGCGTAAATATGGTTCCATGATCTGTAACATTAATATAATATTACTTGTGACTAGGAAGCGACTGAAATGATTCAACAAATTCAGAAAAACTAATATAATCGTTTTTTTCTGCAACTGACACAAAAGTCGTCCATTTTAATACCAAAATCAGCTCTCAAATTGACGTTTCTATTACTGAAACAAACAAAGGTATATGTTGCAAGGCAACACTTCCAGTTCCTAGGAGCTGAAGTTGATCTTTAGCTTGTTCCCGATTTTTTAGTTTTAGTTAGGCAAGTATTTTTGTTTTTATCAGGAAAGCCTTCAAGATTCACATACTTGCTTGATCTGTATTTCATTTGTTATTCTCTGGATCTGAAGGATTGGATAACTTGTTTTCGAATAATCATGGCCAGCAATACTTTTTTGTCTCACACAACGATATTGTTCATCTTCATTTGATTACCGAGCCAAACACAGTGGAATATGGGGAGAAATAAATATAAATAATCCTTATATTGCTATATTACTTTCCTTTTAGTAATCGAAGAAACCTAAAAGAAATTGTAGAAGAGTAAAAACAACCCTCTGTAATACACTATTGCCTAATTTCATCAAATTCGTTCAACTTATTTCTGAACAGCGTACAAAAATGTGTTTTTCTATGTGAACTTTGAACCCTTCTCACGGACAAAAGGTACATTTTGGGACATAAATAAATTGGGTCCAATCAACTTATTTTGACCTCCTCTACACGTGGTAGCTCTGTGTCCCAGCAATTTTGGGACACCCTGTATATCGAAAACTTTGAGTATTTGGGAAAACGTTTTTGCAAGGAATTATGTACCGTTAGGTATACAGTGTGTCCATTTAGTGCGTAATTCTTCGATATCTCGAAATCGATTATCACAAGAGAAAAACTTTGGATAAAAAACTTTTTCAGTTACTAAAGTTGCTCATTTAGAAAATATTTCCAACGATACTGGGTGTTTCATAAAAGCGGGGCAACTCGAAGAGTCGAAGATAAGTTTTTTCAAATGGAACACCCAGTTTTGTTCATTCGAAATTTATTCCGCTCAAGTTCAGCTCTACATCGCTGTAAAAATAATTGAATTTGGTTGCGGCGTTGCCAAGTTATAATTGATAAACCCATTTTTACTACTATTGAAGGGTCATGTTCACATATGGGTATGGTATATTTATTTATTGAAATTTCGAAAATATTTTTGGCATATAGTAGTAGCAAGGTCTCACGTATACCAATCCAGTAATCTTGTGAGATTATTCTCTACAGGGTGCTAGAATTTACATTCTGAATATTGTAAGATTCAGACGACGATCATAAGAAATTTTCAAATAGAACACCCTGTATATTTCATCACGGATTTATTTCGACATCATTCGCCTTTTCATCGCAGAAGAAAAAATCAAAATCGGTTGCGGCGTTTTCAAGTTATGAGTTATTTCTTTTTTTTCTACTATTTCGGGGTAATTTGTTCGTCCTGATGGTTCCTTAATTTGATTTGAGAGTGGGAATATTGCTTGCCACATGACATTCGAGGTTCTACATAGATCATTCAGGTATTTTTGTGATATGTGCATCGTCCAAATTTGAAATATTCCGTAATCTTGCTACTTATAATTCAAAGAATATGTGAAACAAACAAACATACCAAAAACAACGCCTGTCTTTGAAATGACTTCTACACTACAAACAATGAAGATGCGGATTGCGAAAATTAGAAATTTTTTTTTCAAATTTGGGCCATTTTTATTGTCGTTATTCCCACAATCCAAATCTTCATTTACCTTGAAGAAGGTAAACATAATGATACAAACAATATGTCTCTACTACGCGGCTTTTGGGAGGAAATTCAGCAGAATGTCGAATCAATCCAAGATATGTTTGATTGTAGCGATGTTTGACAGGTCATTATATACACAAATATTTCGAACAAAATTCAAACTTGGAGAACCTGTGAATGTTCATTTTGTAAAAAAACATATGAATGGTCAATAAACAAATTTGATTATACCGTAGCAACGCAATATTTCCACAATACAAATAAATGAAAGAACTATGACGTACAAATTACCCCGAAATAGTAGTAAAAATAAGGAAATCAACCATAACTTGACAACGCCGCAACCGATTCCGATTTGTTTTCCAGCGATAAAAAGGAGAAAGATGTCGAAATGAATTTTTGAATAAAAATACAGGGTGTTCCATTTGAAAAATTCTGATGAATGTCATCTGAATCTTGCAAAATTCTAAATGCAAAATTGAGCACCCTGTTGAAGAACATGTCGCAAAATTACTGGATTGGTATACGTTGGACCTTGCTGCTACCGTATGCTAAAAATATTTTCAAAATCTGAATAAATGAATATACCATGCTCAATTCAACATGACTCTTCAATAATGGTAAAAATGAGATTTATCAATTATAACTTGGCAACGCCGCAACCGATTTTAATTTTTTTCACAGCAATGTGAAGGTGAACCTCGACGGAATTAATTCCGAATGAACAATACTTGGTGTTCCATTTAAAAAAACTCTTCTTCGAGTTGCCCTGCTTTTATAAAACACCCAGTAATATTGAAAATAATTTTGAAATGAGCAACTTCAGTAACTGAAAAAGTTTTTTTTCCAAAGTTTTTCTCTATAGGTTATGGCTTTCGAGATATCGAAGAATTACGCACTAAATGGACACACTGTATACATGCAACCAATTTTCATTTTGTAGATGTTGAGCAAATTTGAAGGATCTAGGGTGGTTCGAGTGATGCCCAATACGCCAATGTTGATAGGCAAAGGCTGCACTGTGTACTGCCCAGGTACCAACTGCACTGCTCAGGACTTGAATCTGGTGAAAAGTATCTTGGAAGTAACTGGAATGTGCCAGTTGTTGCCCGAGCACATGATCAACGCTGTTGGCGCTGTGTCTGCCAGTGGACCAGCATTCGTAAGTAAATTATTCATATTTTGAAGGCTCAGATACTAAACAGAGTGAATTTAGAAAAAAATACTTCATCAGATAAAAGACAATACCTACTCTACTATCTAGACCGCTAATGAAATAAGATAAAATCTCATCAATTTACGAACTGGAGCATGCGCATTTAGTACCTGTCATATATCTCATGCACCCACTTGTACAGGGTCTTCACGAATATTTTGAACCCCCCCCCCCCCTCTTAACTATTTTATTTATCATCGAATTTTTTCCCAAAGAACATTCTTTTATAATTTTTCCTGTAGATTTTAAATATGTTAATAGAAAAACAATTGAACATCTCAAAAAAAAAGATACGGGCAAGATGTATACATTTTTAAATGGAACACCCTGTATTTTATTGCATTTTTAGATTCTCCCTGAATAGCTGATTTCATCAATCTATTTCAGTTGGGGTCTAGCTGAAATGATTACAGAGATATTGGGTGTGAGAAACGTAGATTTTTTCAACTTTAGGAATTTTTTGTGTCGAAACTTCATTGGCCGAAACGGTTTTCATGTACCTATCTCAACTTTTGGTTCACTATATATCTACTGACATTTAATTGTAACAGATACAGGGTGATCAGAATTCTGAAATTTGAACCACCCTGTATTCGTTTCAATTAAATGTCAGTAGATAATAAATCTAAAATTATGATGGGGACATGAAAACCGTTTCGGCCAATAATGAATAGTTTCGACACAAAAAATTACTTAACTTGAAAAAATCTTGAAATCAGCTCTTCAGAGTGAATCAGAAAATGCAATAAAATACAGGGTGTTCCATTTAAAAATTCATTCATCATACCCATAACATTTGTTGAGATGTTCAATTGTTTTTCTGTTAACATATTCAAAATCTACAGAAAAAATTATAAAGGGATGTTATTTGAATAAACAAATTCGATAATGAATAAAATAGTTAAGATGGGGTTCAAAATATACGTGAAGTCCCTGTACAGTGTGTCCAGCTTTTGATGCTTTTGTGTGATATATCTCAGTTGTCTTGGAGATAGACCTTGCGGTTTCGCGGTCCAATTCCACTTTTTTGTGAAACTCAAGATGGCCTCATCAGATCTTGCATAATAACTGTTTCCGTTTATGAGATACAGGGCGATTTTGAAAATTTATACTTTTTGAACCCACTCTATATCTACGAAGTTTCTCAGCGAACATATCAAACCAAAATCTTATCCCATAGAGAATTTCACGCAAAATCCAGTGGCGCACTCGCGATTTTTTTTCTGGGTATGGTTTTGCAGATGCAAGTCAACCTTATGTTTTTTAGATGCAAGTCAACCTTATGTTTTTTAAATAAAACACCCTGTATTTTGTAAGCTAATTGAATCCCCCATTTTTTCCCTTCAAAATGATATATAATGTATATTCAATCACTAAAACATTGAATTTTAATAATGGGCTATGGATATTTCATATAAAAAACGTTCCAATTGAAGAAATATTTCTTCAAATTTGTTCATGAAGAGGACAAAAACAGTATCAGCACTAATTAACTAACAAAGCACAAAACTTAGGTTCCTGATAGCAACAAATAAATAGTAATAAGAAGTTCATAATGTAGAATAAGCACCTGATTGAATATTTACTAAAACAATTGAATTTTGAAATTATTCACTAATTTACATCAAATTGATGTCCATTTTCTCTAACACACTATTAATAAAATCCAATGTTTTAGGGAATTTTCAACATTTTTGGAAATTTTTTATTGCTATATTATATATTATTATGAAGGAAAAAATAAGGAATTAAATGAGCTTATAAAATACAGAGTGGTCCATTAAAAATATCTTAAGTTTTAGTCGTATTTCCAAAACCATACTCCGAAAAAAAAAATAGTGCACCACTGGATTCTGAGTAAAATTCCTTATGAAATAAGATTTCAATTTGACATTTTTGCTCAGAAACTTCGTAGATATAGAGGGGGTCTGAAAAGTATATATGTTCAAAATCGCCCTTCATCTCATGAACGGAAACAGTCATGCAAAATCTGATTAGGCAAACGCCTGTGAATCGTGCAGGATTCTCTCTAAAAAAAGCTACGAAATTTATCATCTAGGTACTAATTATCAATAATTATTCGAGGCCTACATCTTCATTGAAGCCTTATCAGACGGTGGAGTGAGAATGGGATTACACAGAGACATGGCGACAAGGTTTGCAGCGCAGACTGTCATGGGGGCTGCACAGATGGTTTTGGACACCAACAAACATATGGGTACGTTGAAAGATGAGGTTTGTTCTGCTGGAGGCCAAACTATCGCTGGGATTCATGCTATGGAGAGATGTGCTGTGAGGTGAGTAATTGAGGTCTTTTCTACCTTGAACGAGAGAGAGAAAAGTTCTCTCCTCTTCCATCTTTCTCTTCAATGCTACCAACGTGGCCGCATTGAAATATAGAGAGATCCGATAGATTTTTCCTTGTCTAACATCTAGTTTGTGCCACTGAACTATTTTTGAATTCAACAGAGTGTAAATTCAACGATATCAACAAAATATGTCGAAATAAGTATGATATAATCTGTAATTTCATTTCAAAAATTTGAATGGTTATCAGTCAATGACATATCACAACATTATAATCTGAACTAACTGAAATATCTCACTAGAACTGAACTGAATCAGTTATTATGTGTTCTTTCGAAAGAATTGTCAGTTCAGAAGGAAAAAATATCATTATTCGCGATAGAAAATAAGCGTACGCCACCTATCGGAGTTCTTGAAAGCTGTCAAAGCGACATGTTTACTTCGTTTTCAATGGTTCACATTTTTGTTTGTGATTATTGTTCACATTCTCAAAGCAAACAGCTCAGAGTTCAAGTTGTTACCATCAGGTGGAGTGACGTGTTATTTTCTATTACTTTTCTATCGCGAATAACATCGAAAATAGTTCAGTGGCACAGACTGGAGATTAGACAAGGAAAGATTTATCGGACCTCTCTATATTTCAATGCGGCCAGGTTGGTAGCATTGAAGAGAAAGATGGAAGAGGAGTGAACTTTCCTCTTTCTCGTTCAAGGTAGAAAAGAGTTCAATATAGTTGTATACAGGGTGTGTTTGGTTCACCGACGTATATCTGAAACTGGGTGATAGTGTGAAAAACCTGCTCATTTTCTTTATAAAATTTCGTGTCATAATTTGCCCTTTTTTACATCACATAACTACATAATTATTACAGACATAAGGTCCCTCTCGCATGGTACCTGGTACCATACCATAATCAAGAATGGATGTCCGAAAAAATCTCACTTGCTTGAGGATGACGGAACTGTCGTCATCAGTAGGAAACGGACACATGGAAACTGTCAGACATGACATTTCCCGTCTGTCAAAGTTATACGCGGAAACGTTGATTGATATTTACGCTTTGCGTAATATATCAATCAACGGCGGAAATATTCAAAATTAAATTGGGTGGTGAGCTAAATTGGGTGGTGAGCTAAATTGGGTGGTTCACAACAATAGGTAAAACATTTGGAACATAATTAACCATATAAACAGGGTGTCCCAAAATTGTTGGGACACAGAGCTGCCACGTGTAATACAAGTCAAAATGAGTTGATTAGACCCAAATTATTTATGTAACAAAATGTACCATTTGTCAGTGAGACGAGTTCAAAGTTTACATAAAAAAAACGCATTTTGACAAAAATGCATTTTAGAGGATTACCCACCCTCCTTTGGGTAATCAAAGAAACCCAGAAGAAATTGTAGAAGGGTTGAAACCACCCTCACCCCCGTTTCTTCAGAACATTCATAGGGGTGGTAATACGGTTCTCAAATTTTCTGAGCGAGATGACTGATTAATTATCTTCATTTTGTCACCCCTGTGAAAAATGTTTATCCGCTTAGTTCCAAAGGAAAATAATGTTTTCTTAAATGATAACAATAATCAATCAGTCATCTTTGCTCAAAAATATTGGATTCAATTTTCAAGTATTAAACAAGAATATTTGTCCTCTACATCCGCCCTTGATACGAATTGATCGAATATCATCGTTAAAATCCAAAATTATGTGCATTTCAAATACATACAAACACAACACACAAAAATCAGTGATTTATATTTTTTTATCAAAGGGGAGCGATAATGGATGCAGTCGAAGCTGCTGCACTGAAGGCAGCAGAACTTGGAGAGTGCAGCAAAAAGAAACCACAGTAGTTTACTACATGGAAGAATATAATATAGGAGTTCGAAACATAGATATTTGTGATTGCAAAAAAGCACAATATTCTTCTGTAAACTCTCAATGAGTAGGTATATTTATCTAAAAACGCCCCGTTTAGTCGTCAGAGGGCAAGGTTCGATATATTCTGTTTTCAATTTAGGGAAACAGTAGTTTTGAGACTGAATGAATCAGGTAATTGAATTAGTTTATATTCAATTACTATGTTCATAATTTTGGATTATGAAGGAATTGAAAGATTTGAAACAAGAGATACTCAGTATTATTGTGACATTATTATATTAAGAATTTGGAACATTCAATGATTTAGCTTTATAGAATAAAAATGTCTAGTATAATAAACATTTGTTGATTTCTCTTGTCCCTTTTTCATAGACTTCTTCATTGTAGGAGTTCTAACGGCATATATTTTTGGTCGTTTTCAGTACTGACCGACCATAAATTGTTTTTTTTTTTAATTTCGACATGTAATTTGACACTTTTCTGACGGAAGCTTTGAAACATATTACTTCACGTAACCAGTTGCGCAAAGTAAAATATTACCTAACAACACAATATTGAATACTGTCTGTAGGTTAATCCAGGAGATGGTACATTCATTATTCCAGATGATTTGGGAATTTCTCTCCTCGTCTCAATAAAATAAAATATCAATATTATTTCAATAAACGTGTAGTAAGGACAAATCAGATGATTTGCCCCAAAATGTCACTGCGTTTGAAGAATTTTTCTATCAGAGAGCCTAAAAGAAACATCGACTAGCTTGTCAGTGACTAATATTGAAATAATATTGATATTTTATTTTATAGAGACGAAGAGAGAAAATCCCAAATAATCTGGAATAATGAATACAATATTGGCTGTATAAAATGTAAAAAATCTGGGACAACCCGGATGGCCAGACAATTTCTGTTATTTCCAAATAATGTACTCGTGACATCTGGAAACTATGTATTTCACTCACCGAGTCGTGACGTCAGTAGTTTCCCGAACACTTGGTACTCCACAAATCTGGACGGATCGGTCGGGTTTGGCTTCACACCCTGGATGTACCTGGCGCTGTGTCTCGTCGTTCATCACGTGGGACACGTTCTTCGAAAAGATGTTCTCGTGACCGGTCCGCGCAAACATCATTGATTTATAATTCTTTATCAAAGAGGTACAATAATGAATGCAGCTGAGGTAGTTGCATTTAAAGCAGCAGAACTTGGAGAAAGCAGCAAAAAGAAACCACTGTACTTAATATCGGGGAAACCTAACCACGAGCTATGTGAACGAACACGCTCTGCGCTCTCTTACTATGAAGTGCAAAATGTGAAGCGATGTAGCCACGTTTCACATTGAATCTCCTTCGGGGTGAATCAATAATGCTTTTGTTTCATACACCCAAACACATTTATTACCTGTACAAAGGAAATATTATGCAGTTGAGAATGAAGTAGGAATCTTTCAACATAATTAGGAAAGCAATAAAGCATGATTTATGAATGTTTATAGCCAGCTAATTTCTGTCATTTCCAAATATACTTTGCAACCCGGAAAGTATGTGTTTCCCTCAGAGAGTTGTGACGTCAGTAGTGACAAATCTCGACCGTTTGAATGAGACCGTGATTTGATTCGTGATTTTGAGACATTATAACCATTCAGAAACTCCTTGAAAAATGATAAAATCGAAGTTCACTAGCCCATTCTTTGAAAATTTCTTCTGAATTAACAATTTGCAATCGGAAATTGTCTTCTTTGTAGGTACAGATAGGGTCCCTTGATGGAAATTGACGTTAAAGTCATCTTAACAGGGTACGGACAGATCCTCGTCTCCTCTCGCTCTAAAGTATTTGTGAAACAGTTATATAGTTCCATCCTCATTCAATTCTGGGGATAAACACTAGATTTTTGGCATTCGTTGTTTTTTAGGTTATATTGAGGTCACTGGCGTATCATACGTAATTTGAATATGGAATTCCTGATTCAACTATAGATGAACAATCCTCTAGTTTTAGAGTTCACCACTCCAGCATAATCTTTGCGAGGTAGGGAACATATGAATTGTACCGAAAGCTTAATATATTTCACCAAAAGAGACTGTTCTTAGACTGTATACCAGGTTTGACTGAGTTGACTGAATGAATTCTGATTTCAAGCTGAGCAGTAGTTTATCTATGAGCTGGATGAGCAGAGCCTTATTCTGATTGAGAAATGATGGAAACCTCGATGTGGGTATCTGAACTAATGTACTCATGTCATGTGTGCTAAATATCCATCTCGGAGAAGAATCTATGGAGTTATACTAATATCACACTATGTATAAAACTTTGTCTAGGACGAAAAGTTGGCTGATAAAAAGTAATACGTAAAATGTGAAGGAAAATAAAGAATATAATATACTTTACCTGATTTTTCCGTCTCCTTGAATAACAAGTCATTTTTGAATATTTTATCAATGAAAGTAACGAAAGACGAAATAATTATAATCTCGGACCCACGAAATCCCCAGATGCCAATTTTGATTTTTGAATAGAATCGGATCATATTTACAAAATTTGTTCGCCATATTGGATCCGCTATCTTGAATTTCCTAATTTTGACAGTGATTTTGACAAAAAATCATATAGTTCGACCCCGAAAACCCCCAGATACCAATCTTGAATAAAATCAGATCATAATTAGAAATTTCTTTCGCTATGTATTGGATCCGTAATCTTGAATTTTGCAAGTTTGACGAAACAATCATTATCTCCAACCCCGGACAACCCCAGATACCTACCAGTTTCGAATTCGTTCGCCATATCATATTCCTCAACAAGTAAATACCCTGTACATACCTATTATTAAAATTCAGAATGATTTTCTGTAGCGCCCATGGATGTGACGTGACAGCAATGTCAGGGATACCAGTAGACAAAACTAAAGTCTCTAGATCATTAAAAAAGAATGCAGCTATGATCTGTCTGTACCCTGTTAAGATGACTTTAACGTCAATTTCCATCAAGGGACCCTAGGTACAGATATCAGTGTTTTCGCTTATTCGATAGGTAGACGGATTCCTACAAGCTTTAATTCATTGAATTTTTCATGATTCAGATTATTGTGGTTTTCAAAAACTATTTCAAAAATATACAGAGCTCTCAGGAGAAAACGGTTGACACTTGTGAACTCGATATTGGGTTAGTACTTTCTAATGATGATGAAACAAATTATTTCTCGAATAACCAAAATAACCAAAATCTCGCTTAAAATACGTCATTTTCTTGGAAGTTACATAACATATTCACATTTCAAATCTACCCGCTTTGCCCTTCCTCCGGTTTCCCGAACGCCTGGTACTCCACGCACCTGGACGGATCGGTCGGGTAGTACTCCTGGCACTTGGTCATCAAACGCTTCAGGCCCTGGATGTACTTGCGCTGCGTTTCGTCGTTCATCACGTGGGCGACGTTCTTCGAAAAGATCTTCTCGCGACCGGTTCGGGCGTGGATGCCCACCATAGTGACCCCGATGGGCCAGGGGGCGTTGCCGATGGCCATCTGGAGGTATGCGTCGCTCGCCTCGACAAACAGAAAATCGAACATGAAAGCGTTTAGCCGGACCGTATATACTCATACTTGTCCATTACTGCTTTATACAGGGTGAGTCAAAAATGTGTACCGAGCTTTCTGGGGGTGATAGAACATTGAAAAATAAGTGTAGTTTGATGATTAAACTCATGGCCCAAAATGCATATTGAGGGAGATATATCCTTCCAAAGTTGATAAAATTAAAATAATTTCTCCGCATAACTTCTGAACGATGAAAGCCACCCGATTGAAATTTTGTGCATGAATGTATGTTGTCAAAATACATTTTTTCGTCACACTTCCACATTACTGATATTGTTATAAAGGGTGTTTTCAGAGGGTGAGTCATGATTTTTTGTAGAAAACATTTTTCCCTGTATTATTTTCGGTAAAAAAACAGGAGCATTTGATGGAGCGAAGAAAATTACATGGAAAAGGTACTCTTATTCAAATACAAAAAATTGAGCCGTTCGTGAGATATTTGAGTTTTTGTAGTTACATGATATCAGCAGATTGATTTTATTCATCGCCAGATTCATCAGTAACAATATTTTAGCAGAATAGAATGGGAAAAAGCAAAGGAAAAACTGTTCAATATTAAAAGTTAATTATACTGGGAATTAATTATACCAAGGAGATACATTTCTTTGCCATGGTTCTCATAATTATGTGACCTTTGAAAAAACTATATTACTGAAAAATGTTTTAGTTCATGCTAAGTGAAAAGAAAAATTGCTCTTCTAATAATAACACCTACCTTGAGGTAGTTCCTATTCAGCAAATGCACCACTATTTCTGTCAAACTGTCACAGATATCCTCTGGAAGAGTGAATGTTTTCAGCTTCCTCAGCAGTGGTTTCAGATATTCTTGTGTCTGTGTGCAGGTTGCTCCCAAAAGCTTGCCTTTTGTACCTCCTTTTTCTTCTTTAGATCTATTGTGAAGCTGTTCATTCCAATGCTTCAAGATCAACTAGAAGAATAAATCAAGAGAGAAGAATAAGACTATCAGTAACATATCCCCAATGTCTAAGGAATGCATTTTTTATTGAATATTAAGAGCACTGTAAAAATCAAACCTGTATGAAATGGACAATAACAGTCATGTCATGTTCACGGTCCCCTCTTCCCATTCTTTTGGCCATCTCTCTGATCTCTTCATATGTTGTCATTGAATCTTGCTTACTGCTTTCAGATTTTTCAGAAGTTTTGCCATCACCAGGTTCTTGCAGTAGCTCATCCAGAATTGCCTGGTCAACTTGCTCCATTGCCTCTTGGAAGTCATTACGAAATCCCTGAATAAAGAAATTTTACAGCTGCAATTGTGTGTATGTCATGAAGATACATACTCTGTTGACTTCTGGTTCCAATAATTCACATTTTCGTAACCTTTTGAATGCATCTAGCTCTGATTCACCAAATAAGAGGATGGGTTCACTTCTATCTCTCAGCCTGGAGATTACTTCAAGTCTAGGTAGAATACTGTGTTGGTGGGAGTCAATCTCATCACCTGACAAAATATATCATTATTTGGGATCATTGGATCTAATAAACTCATAAAAGTGGAATAACCTTCAGTGAGTTTAATAGAATTTTCATTTTTCCTTTCATCTTGTGTAAAATACTTTTTTCTATATTCCTCCTGCTCCTTGGCTATCAATTCTCCTCGTTTGAAATATTTCTTGTCACTACCCTAAAATTATATTGAAAATGTGAACACACTCACTCTCATAGATTGAAGTACTGATGAAATAATCACTACTTTACCAATAGTTCTTTCTCCTCCAGTAGTTTCCTCTTTCTGGCTATTTCGGCTTTGAGAATATCCATTTCTAGTAGGTGTAGAGTATAATAATATCCCTTGGTTGGAGAACAAAAAAGATTTGTCTTTTTCCACTATTTTCCCTGACATGGAGGAATGAATAATGCATAATGTTTTCATGCAAGCCAGATCAACATAGTAATAATCGTGGAGCGTATCAGTAGTTTTGAACTTTGGGTATTGTGAAATAATATAACGAATATTATAAGATCCCTTTTGGTGATGAATAAAAACAAATAATAGATCAGCTGTTCTGCCGTGCCATACGACCTTGGGGGAAGATTGGGAACCTTTTGGGAACATTGGGAAGAAAAGAACCTCCAGGTTCTGACAGATGACAGTTTGACGAAATGTGAGATTGAAGTAATTCTGGTGGTGGAATCGGACAAATAAAACGCAACTAATGTCTCGAATGCGTCCAAGAGCTTTTCCCTTAGTTAGATCATACAGGGAATTTTCAGACCCATCAGAACGTACAAATAATGGTACAAAATATTATATTTAAAAGTGTTGTTTTTTTGGTGAACCGTGTTCGAAACGATATGAAATCAAGCATTTTCTTGTGTAAGTTATGACGTCATCAAGTAATACGGTTCATTCCTGTTCAAAAACTTTTCAATGAACGGTTCGAACCAAACCCAAAAACCTCTGCCCAGAACGAATGGGTTTCTTTTTTCACACTCCTAACAAATATTCGTCCATTTGAAAAAATATAGATTTTAGGTCATGAACACTGTTCAACAAGAAAATACAAGTGGTTGTGATTGTGTTTGATTCAAAATTTGAAAATCCACCCAGGCAGATTTCTACGAAAGCGTGGGAGCACCATATAATATAATAGTTTCCTTATAATTGACATATACTACTGGTAACTATAGCCTACTTGATACAAGCTATAAGTAATAATAACTAGTATAATAATTTTGACAAATACCCAAGTATAAACTAGCCTAATTGACAGATACTAATTGTGAACTAGTATAATTGACAGATACTTGAGTGTCAACTAGCCTAATTGGCAGATACTGAGTGTCAACTAGCCTAATTGACAGATGCTAAGTGGTTACTAGCCTACTTGCCAAATACTAAGTGGTAACTAGTATGATTGACAGATACTCAAGTGTCAACAAGTTTCTTACAATTAGGGTTTTACTCTGATAATCACATCGTAGTTTCATCGCAATAAGATATCGCTTTTCCATCCAAATAACATATTGATTAAATTACAAAAAATATATCGCTGTTATATCGAAGAGAATATTATCGCACCAACGTACGTCGCATGGGTGACACTCGAGCGGGACAAACTAACATCCCTCTGACATCGCAGCGACGTCCATGCGATATCGTAGGTCACAATTGTTATATCGGTGCGTTATTTCTGTGAACTGTGTTTGCTGGGTATCTATTACGAGGCAAACTCAAATTAACAAATATAACTGAAAGAAGGTGGAATTGACAAATATTCAAATCATAATTGACCGCCATAACTAGGGTTTCCATATTAGTTTTTTAAAACCAGGACATTTAAGACCCAAGACCATAAGAAAATACTAATGGAGTATATAGAAATACATCTCTAGGGAAAATAATAAAACCATAAATTTGAAGTAAAACATTCATTTTCAGCAAAAATAAAACTTGAATAAAGGACGTTGATGTAATGATATTTTATTGAATTCATGATTTTCGGCAACAGCCCGGACATTTTTTGAAAATTCATCCGGACATCCCCGGACACCTCGAAAACCCAAACATGTCCGGATTGTCCAGGAAATCCGGGGAGATGGAAACCCATCGTTCTGATTGGTCTCGAAATGCCTGTATACAGAAAGCATGGTTAGTTGAATTATTGTTATACGTGTCAATTGTTGAATTGTGTCAATTGTGTCATTAGTTGCCAATGTCAATTCAAATAATATAAAAAGCCAAAAAAGTGCTTAACTGGAAGAAAAAAGGAATTACGGAAATTGAGAAAAGACTTTTTCACAACTGGAAGAAACTAGGTAAAAATTCCCAATTATTATAAATCACAGCCTGTAATACACTTTTCGGAATACATAAATAATATATAATCAATTTTTTACATATTGATGATTGTCATCAATTGAGACAAAACATTGCTTTGCAAGAATTGGATAAATTTAAGGTAAATTCATGCAACTTGTTTCCTCTATGATCTAATAAGCATGCAACATTCATTATAATTACATTTGCACTAGCTGTGTTTATGTAATTTCATTATGGTCATAATCTTGTCATAATGAACATTATTCTAGGTTATGTGATTTGCTTGGATTTTCCAAATGTTTATATGATTTTTAAGGCTTTGTTTATTTTGATAATATCTAAAAATGGTGATTAATAATCTAATCTTGCGAACCGTTGTTTTCACTAGAACTCTCAACTTCTTAGTGCAATAATGTAGGCAATGAAAATTTGTTGATGTGTTCCTTGGATGTGTTGTGAATGCATTCTATAAAATATGGGTTCACAACATTGTTAATTCATTATGTAATGAAAATGTAATGCATTGCATGATGAAGCAGCTTATCTTCCTGACAGCAAATTCATTTTTTTCAGATAAAGAAAACTTGTATTTTTAAGTGATTTCCATTACTACAATATGACTACAAATCAAACATTCAAGGTAAAGATGATTTTGACATTCAGAAAACTTATTTGATTACATTTATGATTCATGTTCACAGCCGTCCGAAGGAAAGAGGGAAGAATTCAGAAAATATTTGGAGAAAAATGGGATCATGGATGCCTTAACCAAGGTTTTAGTCAACCTTTATGAAGAAGTTGATAAACCAGAGAATGCTTTAGAGTATCCTTCTGTATTGATGCTACACACTTCTAGAATAATTGATACACATGGAATTGACATTCACAAAACCATGATTATATGAGTGTAATTTATGTTTTCTTCCTTTGATCAGTCATCTTGAATATTTCTAGGTTTTTTCTCTAGAAAATATTATTCCTTGACAATTGGCTAGATATATTCTTGATAAATTATCCATCCAAGCTGGCCAGGAGACTCAGAAACAGTTAATAGCAAGACTAGATGAAGCAAACCTACACATCAAAAGTTTAGAAGAAGAATTAGAAAAATTGAAGGTTGAACCTGCAATGCTCCCAGAAGATGAGGCAGCCCCTATTGCTGTTGAAGAGGTGAAGGAAGAAGCTGTAGCAGCTGAAGCCTTGCCTGAACCTGCAGAAGACCAGGGTCCACCCCCAGAAAATGAATAGTCCACATTGATTTGAAATTTGTGGCTTACATTTTTTGTTACTATTCTATTCCTCGTTTTTTGTGGCTTTAAGCTCTGTAGGCTTGAATGTCAATATTTTTTGTGGATTGAGAAGCATTTCTTGAAGCTTCCTTTAGTTTTTCTACAGCTCTGAAATTCAAGCTTACAGATAGGTTATTTTTTGTTGATAGCATGCCATTCAAGTTCCTTATTATGAAGAGTTCAGTTTTTGTTTAAGTTTTTTGATAAACTTTACTTCTCAAATATAAAGAGATTATATTTTCCACATGTTGTGAACATTATTTGAGCATAGTGAATGATTGAAAAGAATACTGTTCCAATTTTGATGACATCAGATTTCTTCCCCTCTGATGCATACTGAAAATTCACATTTCATGAGGAAAGTTGGTTAGGAGCCTTACATTTCTATCACAAATAAAAAAATCAGGGTATATTTTTTGTTCCTACTAATTAGAAAAAACTTTTCATTATTTTCACTATCACCCGTCTATGTGAAAATGTAGTTTAACTAAGTGATTTGCCTTGAATAATAAGTTCCATAAAATATGCTTACTACCTACTATTTGGATTGTAAAATGTATTTGGTGAATAATTTTCTTCTGTGCAATATTTTCTTGAACAGTACTTATTTTTTGAAGTCTCATACAATTTATTCAAACAGTATAACTGCTTAAGTTTTGTATTATCAGTGTAGCTGAAAATTAATGATAATTTTCATGAAATATATTCCTCAGTTGAAATAAAAAGTTGAACAGTGGACATTATTCTGAACCCCTGTTCCCATGATTTTTTGATGCACAAGCACAACATAATATATTTAACAAAAAAGCTATTTATTAAATAAATTCAATCATACATTGCAAATCATATTATGAAAAAAAAAATCAACTGGAGTTCTGGGCCACTTCTCAACAGATGAAAAATACAAAATAAATTTTCCATCCAGAACTTGAATAATGAAGTAGTATCATTAGTGTATATATTTATGAGATTTTTTTATGCTTCTTGCTGTTAATCAAAAGTTAATTGTAGCTGAACATCTTCATTTAGCTGCTGCTTTCAAGGCTTGCCTTCTTTTAACATCCCAATTGAAAACTCTTGCCATATTAACTTCAGTGGTGGTAAATTGATCCCTATAATAAACAGTTGAAATCAAAATATTCATGGTAGTAATTGTATTTCAGTGTTGTGATTAGTTTGAAAAAATCAGGGTTTCTGAATCAGGTTGATTATTCTATCCACCTTGATGTATAGATATAATATTGACACTGTCAAAAAAAAATCTTTGATCAAGGATGTCTCAAAATAATTGTCATACCCTGCTATTTAAAAACCCTAAGAAGTGGGACTTTCATTCTGGAGAAAATATTACCTTAAAAAATCTAGATCATGTTCAACATATCCTAAATTTCTAGTGGCTGCAGAAATATTTTGGGATAAGAGTTTCTTGGCATCCTCTAGAGTGTACTCTAACATTACATTTGCACCAAGCCACAAATATACATTATCAGTGGGAGGAACCTTAGCTTTGGCAAAAACTTGTTCACTGAGCAAGAATTGTGTTTCAAATTCTTCTTTTTCTTCTTCAAGTTTCTCTATCATAGTCAAAGAACGTTTCAATTCTGGAACTTGGGTTTGTAAACGTTTCTTTTTTGATAATAAATTATATTCCATGAATTTGTATTTGGCATGCTGGCTATCTAGTTTTTTCAGTACATCATCAACATTCCCATTGTTTTCAGTTCTCTTCATGTAAGAATCTACATCTTCCTGAAATTATTTGGTGGTTTGAAACATTTTGACCTATCATATGGTCTCCGATTTTTATTTGTTTGAAGAATGAAAAGCTTCAGTAGTATGTGCCTTGAGGAAAAGTAGAGAGAATTGAAAGACAGTTACGGCATTTTGGTTTGAAAGAATATTTCAAGCATGGAAATGTTCAATAAGCTTACCACAAATTCAGCTTCGGGTATTCCCGCATAAGATTTTTTATCTCCTAATTCGGTATGGCTAGTATCGATATCCATTTTTATTCAGCGAGAGCAACCAGAAATCCAATGAAAATAAATTTTTATTAATTTCTGGAATTGAACCTGACAACCTCAAAATTTGACATTGACATGGGAAAATTTCGAAGAAAAGAAACTGATTAAGTTCCCTAAAGCTAGTTGTTCAACCTTGCCTTCACAAAGCCAAAGAAAAGAAGATACAAATATTTTACACAAAGTAGATTAACCTGCACCGGAGTAGTCGGTCTCGAAACTCTTGAAAGTCAGAATGGTTTATTTATTTCTCATTTCCAAGCATTATTAAATACTCGGTGATGGATGGTGTAGAAGTACTAATTGTAATTGGTGTAATATATGGGTTATTATTATTTTTTGATAATTTCTTCAAGGTTTGTAGCTAGTCATGAAAATAACAATTCTCCAATAACATTAATTTCAGACTTGCGCCCATTATCCTTATATTAAATTTCTGGAAGGAACTGGATTACAAGTGAATTTTTTGGGTTTGAAGTGGAAAACTAAAGCTTTCAACCGTGCCATTATAAGATTGGGTAATACAAGACCCCGTTTTTGGAATACCTGGTTCACCTTAGGTATATATACAAGTTTGATATTGTTGCCAATATCAATAATTCTATTCTTATACTCTGTTCTTCAAAACCTGATGAGTAAAGATCAAAATGAGAATAATCCTGTATTAGTGCCTATTATACCAGGAATAAATGTACCTACATCAGAACTTGGATATTATAGTCTGTCACTGATAGTATGTAGTATTGTTCATGAGTTGGGCCATGCTATTGCTGCAGTGCTTGAAGATGTTAATTTGGTAGATGTGGGTGCTAATATATTTTTTATACTACCTATTGCCTATGTAAATATATCAACAGAGAAGTTAGTGTCTCTAGAGAATAAAAAAACTCTAAAGATACTTTGTGCTGGCATTTGGCACAATTTAATTTTAGCTGCTGCAGCTTTCTTTGTATATTGTTCATTGCCATTCTTATTGAGTATGTTTTTCTACACAAACAATGGTATCATGATAAGTGATATTACTAAAAATTCACCACTGCTAGGCAGTAAAGGCTTGAATATAGGTGATGTAATTACAAATGTGAATGATTGTGAGGTTGTTGATGAATATAGTTGGCAGAGCTGTTTGTCACAGATTCATAAACAAAAACTTGCAATATGTATTGATGAAAATTCTATTCATAGTTTAGATGAAAGCATTCCACTGAAATACCTAGAAAATAACCTCTTAGAATGTTGTGATGATAGCAAATCTGAAAATATTTGCTTTGAATACATGGATGAAGCTAATGGTGTGTTAGAGATTCCAGGTCATGCTTGTCTTCCTGGTAGGAAAGTTGTAGAACAATCAAAGGTATCTTGTACCTTATCACCTAATAGTTGTCCTATCAACCAGTTCTGTTTCAGACCAGTACTAGGAAATGCTACTCACTTACACAAAATCAATTGTGAAAATAGAAAAGTTATTTATCTTGGCCTCCCTCAGGATATTTATTCAACTGTGAAGGTATCATCATATATTCCTAAATACTTTTTTAGTACACCTGCATTTGCAGATGTGCTAACAAAATTCACTAAATATGTCATAATCTTTTCATTGGGGCTGAGTATTTTGAATGTAATTCCTATCCTCTATATGGATGGACAATACATTGCAGAGGTCTTAGGAATGATATTACTCAAAGAAAGGTTTGGAAAAAGCATGTCAAAAGCTATTATTACAATTATTATTTATTTTTTCACAATGCTCTTACTGTATCAATGTTGTTATACGATTTTCAATGTAATTTTTTAATGAATAAATAATGATTTTATATAAATCAATTCATAAAATTTCATCACTCAACCAACAGGAATTCTTTGGAAGCAAAGAATGGGCAAAGCTAAATCTCTAAAACCAGAAGAAAAAAGTGGAATTTCATCTTAGAAATTACTTAGCAAGATTCAAACTAGTCTCTAATTCTCTCAAGCACCTTTCCCCATATTGAATACACATTTTGATGGTAACTTCATCTTGATGATGAGCATTAGTTTGAAAGTCTCTTCTAGCCCAATCTTTCAGTTCATTTTGAAAATTCTCATCCGGGACTTTCTTAATTGCTCTGAAAATTTTTCTGTACAAACATTTCACTTCCTGCTTCAGAATAAACTGAAAATATCTCAAATGTAGATGTAAATTGAAAATAATTGTATAAATTAAAACCTACTCTTTTCAAACTAAGAACTGGTTTGGTAATTCTTGACATTGGTTCAACTTATAGTATACTATTTTCTGCGTATAACTATCAGACAATTATTTGTTCCGAAGAAATGAGAAAAACATACATTGTTAAATGGTATTGTTGAATTCAGTCTAGACTTGGACTCTTGTGCTCAACTTGTGCTTGTGAAAAATAATAACCTCATTTTTGCATCTTCCTCTTCTTTCGGTTCTTCTCTTCTAATAACCTCATTTTTACATCTTCATCTTCTTTCGGTTCTTTTCTTCACTCCTTTATAGCTGGCCCTGGCCTTTGCCTCTCCTCAACCCTCCACACAACAATCATTATTTCTTTTCTTGCGTGTTTTTTAATCCTCCAATAATGCATCTTCCTTTGAAATATTTACTTTTCACTACCTGGCTGACTAGTCTAGCCGATACTGATGCTGTGCTGAAACTGAGATGCTTGCTGAAATGTGAGTGAAATGATAGTTACCATATATTTTACTACTCAGTAGGTACTAGGTACTACCCATAATGTACAGTGGTAAAGGGCTTTCCCACCTTCACACAGAGTTGATAGTGACGTCAATATGTCAACACATACAGTGTTGCCAGTTGAATGGAAATGACTGAATGACCAACCGCCCGAATATGGATATGTCTAGTGTTACGATCGTCGGACGTTATAATGTTTTTTGCAACCAACCAACTCAAAAGCCGTCCATTCATATTTCAAAATCAGCACTTGAAGTTGATAAATGAACTTCAATATTTGTATTTAATGAACCATGAACCTAAACAATATACTGAATATGGAATTTAATAATAATAAAATCCTTACAAAGAAAAATAACTTGAAGAATGATTTATTATATAACATCAACAAACAATCACAGATATTAACATTAAAAATATCTTATTTTTCTACCAATACACTAAAGAGCAAAATCTCACCTCATATTAATTGTAAGAATATGTAATAATTGTTTCTCAATGACTGTATATGAAATACAAGGTGGATAGAAATAGAATATGGTGTGATCACAGAGTGTTTTGTTTCTCCCAAAACGCTTGACGACAGATTCCGCAATAATCACATATTAGTTCTCAGTTGTTTGCAAGATGGCGACACTTTTTACAGATTTCTTTCATGACAGAAAACGGCGCTTACACACCGGTTGTACCAGAAATAATAATATCATAACATAATCTCAAATCAAATGAGATTGAATTTGAAAGTAGGAAACTGTAATTTTGGGGAATTTTCATTATCATCAGTTCAACCAACCTTGAATTTTGGTTCAGATTTCGTCATTTAACGAGTGAAATGCGACCTATAGTCCGCGATATCGAAAAGAATCTTTCTGTCAAGTAGGCCATAGGTCAAGAAGTTTGACAGAAAAACAGTAGATGGGATTTGATAGGAGTATCTACGCCATCTTCTGTTCATCCTGATGAAATACTTAAAAAGGCGTCATATTCGCGATAGAAAATAAGCGTACGCCACCTATCGCAGCTTTTGAAAGCCGTCAAAGCGGCCTGTTAACTTAATTTTTATTGGTTCACATTTGTTTTTTGTCTGAGCATCAAAACAAGACGTTCAGGAGAGTTGTTGCCGCTACGAGGGGCGACGTGTTATTATCAATCGCAAATTGTTTAGAAAATAGATTCTACCTCTTTCCTAGTGAAAACAGCGAAGAAACTGCCTCAGACGACTACTCTATCGAAATTTCTGAACAGATCGTCCTGATATCCTTTGCACCCCCCACAACCACTTCCTTCTCATCGCTCTGTTCTTCTGAATGCGTAGCGAGATGGGCCCTGAGCGAATGGGCCCAGAGAAACGATTTATTGCATCGAGCGCAGGCGTGCGATCGGGCGGCCGAGTGGGTCTTTTCGTGGACCCTGAGCCCGCTGCTGCGATTGAAACGTTTGTGGCACAGGTGGCACTCGAAAGGCTTCGCGCCGGTGTGGACGATCGAGTGCCTTTTCAGCCTGGTAGACGAGGGGAAGGCTTTGTCGCACTCGCTTTCAGAATAAAACAAAAATTTTCTTTAGGTTTACAATAGGAATATACACTCACTGTAGTGCTGTAGTTGAGCTACAATATTCCAATCATAGACATATAAAAAGAGGCATAACATTTCATTCATAAAATGTAACGAAGCATTTATTTTCCTTCTTGCCGTTTAACGAGAATTAGTGCCATTACTATGGTTGCGCAGTGTATCTTCTAATGTCTATTGTTGGGCAGTGTATATTATAAATAGTTTGTTTCCATTTTTCCTAAATCATACCGGAATTATCAGGGAATGCTTCGTTACTACCCTATTTATATTATTGATAGTGATTGCATTTAGTGTAGAATTGAATTGTTTTGTTATCCAGTACGAATTGTTTTTTCATTATTGGGACATTAGTATTTTCTTGTATGTGACCTGGAAAAACGAAACGCTTAGTCATGGTCAATATTTTTTGCGTGGATCTTGGTGCATTTCGACAGTTTTTATCGCTCCCGAGTCGAGTGTTTTTGTACATAGTTTTTCATCTATTGACCTCGTTGTTTTTGTACCTCTTTCTTAGTAGCATTTGCGTACTGGCCTCGGTGTTTTTCAGGAAACCTTGTGGTTTTTGCTGATCCCTTAACCGGTTTCTGAACATGACCTTGAGTAAAACTATAAAAGGTATTTTCCCGAGACTAACAAGGATTGATAGATGAGTATACTAGAAGATAGTGAGTTAATAAGTGGGGCCGTCCGCACCGAGTGAATTACCATGTACCGAAACCGAGTGCCAATTCATTTTTTGGATTAGCTTTTCCACTTCCGTACCTGACGATAAATATTTTCTCGGTGAGTTTCGAGGAAAGTGATCATTGTTATGTTGTTGTCTAGTTTTCTTACGAGACGAGATCGTCTGGGACCTAAATATTTCTCTATTATTCTGATCAATCTCCACGCCTTGTCGCAAAAAAGGTCGAGCGAATGGTGGTTGACCAGGGGTATTTCTTTGTTAATCCTGCTTCGTTCATTCCCTCTGAATCCTTTCTCAGTCTTGGAGGTTATTACCAATCTGATCAATCTCCACGCCTTGTCGCACAAAAAAAAAGTCTGGTGAAAGGTGATTGAGTAGGGAGTGGCATTTCTTCGAGATTTTTTGAGGATAAATACCTACGGTAGACCCGAGGGGTGGCTCACTTGCCTAAATTTTGTACACCATATTACCAAATCGGGTAATATCAGTAATATTTAGGGGATATTACCATAATACCATATAATACCAATAATACTCAAGATATTACTAAATATTACTGATTATGTGAAATATTACCAAATATTACCAAATATTACCAAATATTACCAAATATTACCAAATATCACCAAATATTACCAAATAAGACCAAATTCCACGAAATATTATCAAATATTACCAAATATTACCAAATATTACCAAATATTACCAAATATTACCAAATATTACCAAATATTCCCAATATTACCAGATATCACGAAATACCACCAATATTACCTTCCAAATAATGATGGGTACTTGATGAATGACATTAAATACCTCGTTAATTACTAATGTATACAGGTAACCTCACTCACCACTATCATCAATTCAACTATTATCAGCAGACTGGTCTATATATTTCAACAACTGAACTGATAAACGAAATAAACTTCAAATACTTTCATAATTTTTTGTTCGAGCATGATGGTTCATGGTCCAAGAAAGAATTTCTAAAAATGATCACGATATAGAACCTTATAGAACAAGGTCGAAAAAACGAAATTGCTCAAACGGAATCATAACGACACCGCTGCAATTTTACACTACTTCAATTAATCAATTATCATCCTGTTCACCAGAAATTTGTGTGTATAATGTCATATTGCTCTGGAGAGTAACTGAAAGATGGGAGGGGGGGGGAGGGGGTAACCAAAGTGTGAGAACCGAATAGAAATTTATAATTGGATCTATGAGTCAATCGATTTAAAATTCGACCTCAGTTTGATTGTCGAAATATGTATAGATATTCCTACTGATAATAGTTGAATTAATGATAGTGATAAGGGTGGTTACCTGTATGAACTAGTAATAATTAATGTGGTTTATCAGGTTCCTAAACATTATTTGGAAGGTGATATTGGTAATATTTTGTAACATTCCTGAATATTTCGTAATATTTGGTAATATTCGGAAATATTTGTTAATATTTGGTAATATTTGGTAATATTTGGTAATATTTGGTAATATTTGGTAATATTTGGTAATATTTGGTAATTTGGTAATATTTGGTAGTATTCAGTAATATTCGGTAATATTCGGTAATATTTGATAATATTTGGTAATAATTGGTAATATTTGGGAATATTTGGGAATATTTGGTAATATTCGGTAGTATTTGGTAATATTTGGCATTACTTGGAAATATTTGGTAATATTTTGAAAAATCAGTAATATTTAGTAATATCTAGTTTATAGTAATATCCCGTGAGTTCAGATGAGTTGCTATTCTTTAGTATAGATCTAGAAAGTATCCCATTCTAGCTGACATATTTCGAATAATACTCAGTATTGCATGGTATTGCCAACATAAGAATAAATAGTTATTTTCTCCACATGACATTAAACATGGCTTTTTAATGTCACTTAACAGGCATAGAAGGTGCACTTCAACTGCCTGGGTAGCTTTAGATCTTGTGATTTTCTTCCATGTAAAGCAAATATAACTATTTAGGTCTACTCAATTCCTCAATACCTTTGTGGTTGTTTGGGTGTTCCTAGTCGCCGATAACTCAACCATTGATCTTCAAACACTGAGTTCATGCAAATACATCCCTAATAACACACTTATGTCCCATGGATATCCTTAGGACGTCCTGTCGGGACATTCAGGACGTCCATAGGACGTTCGAATTTGGTACCGTGGACGTCCATTGGACGTCTGTGGGACGCACAAATGTCCCACTTGAGGACCAACTAGGGACGTCCTTGAGGGACGTCCCTGGGACAACTATCGAATACCTTAATCCTACAGTATTCCCTATCAAGCACTACAGAGGACGTCCTTAGGACATCCATAGGACAACCTATCAGCAACGCTGGGGATATCAATTGGATGTCCATAGGATGTCCCAGGGACGTACGAATTATTCTTGAATTTGAATTTGTCTGGGTCCCTTTAGGACCAGATCTTGCATAACTGATTAGGACATCCACTCGAGTTGATGGTCCGTAGAAGGTCCTCTAAAAGTTTCCCAAGGATGTCCAATGGACTTACGTGAAGGACATTGACGAGGAGTACTTATAGCCTACGAGCAATCATTCGTCTGCGAGGTGTAAGTTAACGTCCTCGCAGGGACAACATTTTGAAAGTACCGACTCGGACGTCCATAGGACGTTATTTCTAGGACATTTGAAGAGTACAGTTTATGTACCTATTGGGACATCCGACTGACATTCGAAGGACGTCCCTGAGGGACATTTCGATGGTTATACGATCCTGGAAATATTAAGGGCGCCTGTGCAGAGATATTTGAAGGAATGTACCATCAGGGTCATTTCATGATTGTCTAGAAGGGACATTATATAAGATCTGAAGTCATGCCAGTATATGTACTACTCGGGACATCCGATGGGTGTCCCTAAAGGAACGTTCAAAATCATATCCCATCAGGGACATGCCAAGGACGTCCTTGCATGGACATTCTACAATATGTACCACGTGGGACGTCTAAGGGATGCTATTTCTAGGACATTTGAAATGATGTACCAGCTGGGACATCCTGTGGACGTCCTTGCTCGGACATTGCAAGAGATGTACGGGATGGGACGTCCCAAGGACACTTATTTTTGGTCCGGGACATTCGGACGTGAATTGTATCAAATAGGGACGTCCCTAGGACGTTGTGTGCTATTAGGGATACTGAACCATCAATAAACTAAAATAAAGAAATGGTATTTTGATACTCATTCTATTCATAGAGATCAGGTAGGCATAGATCGAGGTATAGATATACTCACGATGGAAAATAACATGTTGCTGCACCTGACAGACAGCTTTCAAAAATCTCACCAGGTGGCGAACGCCGAGGCGAACGCTTATTTTTCATTGCGACATCTGGTATAATTGACTCATAGAACATTAGAACGTATAATAATCATTTTCATAATATTACTAGAAATACTACCAATGTATTACTTGATGCGTTATACTAATATTTCTTGGAATATCACCAATAATACTATATTACTATAAAATGATACCAATATTACCATATTATTGACAGATATTACTGATATTACCATATTATTGGAAGATATTACTTATATTACTATATTACAAGCAGATATTACCAATATTCCAATATTACTAGCTGATATTACCAATAATACCTGTCATATGAAATATTACCAAATATTACTTGATAATACTAGTAAAACCGGTAATACTAGAAGTATAATACTGTACTGGTAATATATTACTGGCACGATGTACACCATATTACCATAGTGAGCCACCCCTCGGGTAGACCATTCCGGGAATTGAGGGGAAATTCTAAGTTGAGGGTGCTAATATTTTCGCGGGTGGTACGCAATGTGGTACGTAACCTCCTCTCTGTCAGACAGCCCACTACCCACCTGAACAGTCTCCCTGCCTTGTCGCACAAAAAAAAAGTCGGGTGAGGGGTGACTGAACAGTGGCGTGTATGTTTAACGCAGTGAACAAAACACTGAATAAGTATATATGCGTGGCGGGTTGACGGATAGAACCAGAGGTGTACCGTTCTGACGGGTTACTTATTGTTCTTCTAGGGTTGTGTTACTACTCCTGTTATATTAAAGGTCACAGATAATCTTCGATCGGAAAATGTGCATTAAGCGTCTGTCAATCAGTTAATTTCACCTCCAGGTCGCTCGTTACATGAAATTAGGTTAGGTATCTAGGAGAAGATTGTCGAACATAATTATTCCCATGTCTCAATCCACTGATTCATGTTATTGACACTTTCTCTTGCTATGCTCTCCAAATAAACTATATGTTTTGTTTATAAAAACTGTTGTTTGCTTCAACTGAACTTTGCTAGAAAACAGCAAGTTGGCAACGAACCTCTGGCATACCGTATCTTCATCTGTAGTTGCCTGGGGCCTCCTCTAAGTTGATTCGTTTAGAGAGGAGATATCGTGGAGCATACCACGCTAAAATATCTGGCGCCCGAGTATTGTAAACATATTAGTGTTTGTTCTTTATACGTCCGTATCAGGTGCCAACTATGTAGTTCTATCAATTCGAAAGGAAAATAGGATTACGAATTGGCGCCCGAGCAGGGATGCTTCCTCGATTCGAACCACCACATACGGTCGGTTCGTTAGGAAGATTCAAATGTTATAAACAGATGGCTTTAAAAATGACAACGCTGTGAACTATGCGTCAATGTTCACACTTTTCTTTGCTTTTCTATCTTGAACGAGAGAGAGGAAAGTTCCCTTCTCTTCCATCTCTCTCTTCAATGCTAAAGGCGTGGCCGCATTGAAATATAGAGAGATCCGATAAATCTTTATTTGTCTAACGTCTACTCTGCGCCACTGAACTATTTTCGATGTTATAATGATGTGACATGTCTTTGTCATAAATGTCATTGACTGATAACCTTCCGAATTTTTTAAATGGAATTTCGAATTATATCATACTTAATTTGACATCATTTGTTAATATCGTTAAATTTGACTCTGCTTAGTTCAAAAATAGTTCAGTGGCACAATCTAGTTGTTAGACAAGGACAGATTTATCGGACCTCTCTATATTTCAATGCGGCTACGTTGGTATCATTGAAGAGGAAGATAAAAGAGAAGAGAACTTTCCTCTCTCTCGTTCAAGATAGAAAGAAAAGACCTCAATTCGGTTCATGACGTCATCGAACCTGGCGTTTTTGGTAGTAGCCGAATTTAATTATTGAAAAAAAAATTGTGATGATTTTAAATAACCAATGATTGCATCAAATACTATTTATAGGTCGCGTGCACGATGACCGACCCTGGAGGCAAAATATTGAAACACAACCTCACTTTTTTATTTGTTTACAGCACGCAACCCATACAGGGAATGATCAATATAAAATAGGTATGTGGCATAAACTCCACTAGTGTCAATTTTAATTAAAAATTGACAACAATATACAGGGTTGTCACTGTGCATCTTATCCACCCTACATGTTCAGCAGGCAATGCAGTCTGCTCAAGTTTTTTTTTTACATTACAGTAACCTGTGACATATGCAGAAAGGTGAGTATAATGAATCAAGACCCCGGTTTTATTAATACTTCACCCACGCGGCCCCCACTCTTTGGTTCACGATTTGTATTTGTGACCTCTCATATATCCTTGTGGTGGAAGGTGGAATATGGGGGATTCTTGCACTGTTGATTGTGCACAAATAAGACACAAAAAACATGTTGTGGGCTCCGGGTTTATATGATTATTCAAATATAAGTGGAAATATGAATCCTTCAACTGTGTTTTTGTTGTTTAGTTTCATTGACATATTCACTATCCAATCTGAAATTGATAACTTTTCACATGAATGAGCAATCAAGTCCATTTGTTCAATATTATTTGGTGTATCAAATATCAAATTCCAAATCTTCAGTTATACCCATTTTGAAAATTTTTATTCTTGATTTGAATTCGATTATTTGAAAGTTTAATTATTTAATCATATTTGGAAAATTTTCCAACTCACCTACATTTGAAAGGCTTCTCACCAGTATGTGATCTCATATGTTGTACCAGATGGCATTGCATAGACATCCTTCTTCCACAAACATTACACATGTATGGTTTTTCTTTAGTGTGAGTCCTCATATGGTATGTCAAATCAGGTGCTTGCCTGAACCCTCTTCCACATATTGTACACAAAAATGGTTTGGAGCCTGCAAATTATAAGAGGTTATTTCAGTCATTTTGCTTGATTACTTGGGATTTTTTCTCCTTATTGTTTCTATAAAATAGAAATAAACAGGATGTAATTCAATTGATAGCTGAAAATATGGGATATGGTTCCTAAACTCATTTTAACAAGAAAATGTCATATGAATATGCCCTAAACCTATTGACTTTCAAGCTTTAGGGTGTTGGAATTGTAATACTAAAATTTTTATTCTATAGAAAGGAAAAAAAAAACAAATTACCAAGCAAAATGAATGTACCATCTCCTGAATGGATTAAACTATAGACAGTATTTAATATATTCTCAAGTTTGTAGCTCAAAATCAAGCTCATAGTTATGGCATTATCACTTTTACATTATAAAAAGAATGGATTGATGTGTTACCTGTGTGTATTCTCATATGTGCCCTGAGTGTCCCAGCCTGTTTGTATTTCTTGCCACACTCTTTACATTCATAAGGTTGCTCCCCTGAATGAGTACGTATGTGGTGCATCAGAGATCCATAAACTTTGAATGCTTTCTTACATTCAGTACACACATAGGGCTTTTCTTCATCATGGCTTTTTAAATGAGTCCTTAGACCACTGATGGATCTGAAGGATTTTTGACAAATATTGCATTCATACTCCTGTGAAGATTAGAAATATAAAAAATGTGTTATAATTAAAGTTAGTGTTATAGTTATCATAGAAATGGATAATATATTTCATATTTGGTGGGGTTATGTTCATTATACTTACAAATCTACTAGCTCCTCTGTCTTTCTTATAATAACACATATTATTGAGAATCTCCTTGCTAATATTTTCAGGAACTAGTGGAGGACATTCATTAATTTTTTCATCAGATAATTCCAAAGTAAAAGCTGCTATTTTGGGGGAAATCATTTCCAAATTTTCAACTTGTAAATTATCTTTGATTAATTCATCAATGGTGTCTTCCCCCAAAGGTAAGCAGCTCTTCAAATCATCACAATCATGTTCATCATCTATATTATTAGTAACTGAATTCAATCCAGTCACATCATCCTCATTAGACATCTTTGTGAGTTCTTCATCAATATCAAGAGATATGTTATCTTTCATAGCCTGAGAAATACTCACAGCTGCTTCTTTCAATTCATTGATTTGCCCCTTGTAGGAATCCAATAAAGATTGGGATTTATTGCACTGTTGTTGAAATTTATAGGCACTGTGAGCTTTCTCAATGCATTCAGTGCATACCATAGTTGGTAATGATTCATCAGGATAAACCTCCAAAAATATATAAGAATAATTTCATAAGTTTTTTCTCATAAATGATTTGATACCTTTATATTCGATATACTCATCAATACTTCATGTACTGCAGGTATTTTTTCTTCATTGCTTTCCTCGAATCTGCTGTAGATTGAATACAGATTATCACATTGCATCTCCATCAAGCAAACTCTACAGACTTTATCTAACTTGAGAGTCGTGGATATAAAATTTTCCACCATTTTTCATCAGAAATTCAAATATTGATTTCAAATTTCAAATTATTGATGATGTTCACAAAAAGAAGAATCAGTTCAATGACGGCTAAATATCTAGACTGTCTGACGGGTTATATCAGGTTCCCTTGTCCAATGACGGCTAAATATCTAGATTGTCTGACAGTCTAGTTATTTAGCCGTCATTGTTTCGTCTGCTTTTCAGTGTAAAATGCACTGCACTAAGAATCAGGGATTAATCAGGGGATATTTCGTGCAGCTACACCAACACATTTCGGTGAAACTGCATGGGTGCGTTTTTCATTCCAACATTTTATCATGCGCATGAATTGAAGAAACCATCAAACTGTTGCAAAATTCCGCTGGAATGTTGATGGACATCCATCAAACTGTTGTAATAAAATGCGCACTTTTAAATCGCTTTTCGAGAATCCAGCAGTTTGGAAGAGATTCACATGACAGTTGACACATTTCAGTGTTATTTTTCGTTTTGATTTGATAGAAAACAATTAATATTGAGGATTTTTGAGAGATTTTAGAAGAAAGAGTCAGTGTTAATCAATAAAATCGAATTAGCCTCTTCTGATTCTCAAGATACATGATGACTGACACACAACAAAATCCGTGTTTCCATCAATGTGTTGTATAAACCATTGTTCAATCCTTCCAGCATAAATTCCAACAGAACAATTGGTGACGTCACGACAAAAAACCGCATCTATCAGTGTGCACTTTCTTCGATGGAATGAAAAACACGCCCCATTTATCATGCGATGGGTTTTTTTTTCGAAAATTGTTTTTGGTACTTACGTAATTTTGTCTGAAAAACACGAATTTGATAATGAAAATAAGAACAAACCATTATTTATTAGGATATTTGAGTATGAAGTTACAAATTTCAACTTCTTTTTCGCCTGTCTTCTGGATGGCATGCAGAACAATTTCCCCTTCTCTTTCATCATATTGGACAACTTCTATATATCCCAATGTATACACTACACTGTTTTACCACTAACCAAACCGATTTTTCAACGCCTCGACACGTGTTTCGCTAACTATGTTAGCATCTTCAGGAGAAGATTAAATCTTCTAAATATCTGTCGTGCATAAAAAAGGACGGTTCTTTTCCTAAACCATCTTAACTTATTCGGCCTAAATGAAGCTAAAAATTATATCTTTCGGAAAATCACTTGAGAAAACAGAACTGAAAAATAGCTGACCGTCGCAAGCAATGAACCTGGGTCGCCGACGTGGGATTCAAACACACAGTCAACTACGCCATGAGTAACTGTGGTATTGCGAAGAAAGATTTTAGTCGCTGTACTCGCACTTGCCACGCTGATTATATTTCTTACCTCTTGTCTCTAGGCGCTAGTATTCGAATTCGAACGAAGAAACGTAACGCTGCATTTCCCCAACCATTCTAAAATGTATAGCAAGTATACTATCTAGATGCTACTGCAAGCAGTCGTATAATCCTTGACTGCAAGCCACTATTTGAACGACTGGCGAGAGACATTTATCTATCATACTATCTGTCATCTGTCATCTGTGTCACTGTGTCATCCTGTCATCTCAATTTTTATTATTGTTAAATTGTGATGAGCTTCATAAGCTTGTAAAAACTTTTATAAATAAAAGTGTGAAATACTTAGGGTATGTAATTATTATTTTACTTTTCTCCTATTAGTGAATATATATCCTAATACGTTTCAGCAATAACGTCAAGAATCACGCCGTCAAAAAATTTGCAAATAACAGAAAAAAGCGGTTGAGGAACCGCACCCAATTTTTCTGGGGAGTTTTTGCTAAATATTCACCATAGGCCTTTCGGACACAGCGTTAATGGACATGGTTGTCTCAAACCTACAGACTCAAAGACTTGTTACTGAGCAGCTCAGGAGAGAGGCTGCTTTAAAAAGAATGCCTGTCTCCATTGCAGTGAAGGATATCATCAAGTATATCACAGAACATGAACAAGATGACTGTCTTCTTGTTGGGTTTTCAAGCCAACGGGTAAACCCTTTCAGGGAAAAAACACCTTGTACTGTATTGTAATCAAGTAGTTATACCTAGAGTGATTTTCGCAATTTTCTCACTGTCATTGTCCTATGTAATGGTATCTGAAGTTACTAGTTGTTTGCTGAGCTGATAACAAATTTGCAAGGTTCTCTAATTGATTCAGTTTGTTAGATTTCAATGAGGCACCAGTATTCAGGAAGAAACTATAATATTCTATATCCACAAGTATATCTATAACTGAGAAGGTGTCAGGATTTCTGTTTCTTCATTTTGATATTTGGTTATTTTGATTGATGTACCTCAATGAAATGTATGTAATATTTGTGTTGTTCTGCTTAGATTATTATTCATAGGAGTAATAAGTGTGCATATTTTAGGATTTGACAGTAGAATATACTAGCCATTAGAGCATGTACACTATTCATGGCCAGCATCCATACATTTAGACTGAAACTGGAACCATTTTTCTGAATTTTAAAAATTTGATACAATTATTTCATTTCAATATTTGATATTTATTTTTCTATTGAGCTACTAGTTGAAAAAGATAGGAATGTCATTTGCCTTCTATAGTTACTAATTATCTTGTGATAACTTTGCGAAAAATCTCTACCTATATTTTTGATCTTGCATAATATACTGATAATGTTATGTATGTAATACAACTTGAATTTAGTTTTCTAAGAGTCTATTTAATAAACTGAATTGATATCTATATTAAGTATGTTGATTTCCCATTTTAATGAAATATATGATTCCCCTAATACATTCACAGCATTCATATATAGTTCCTAATAGGAAATTACTTTTAGAAATACTTCCACCTTCATAACTGATATCCTGATGATTGATACTGGCAATATTTTCCTCATTTATAACAACCAGATCATTTGAATCAATCTGATGATTTGATTTTTTCGATTTTCCAGATGGGAAATATGATGAAATTTCAGGGAATAGGTATTTCCATTTAAGACTAGAAATAGTCTGGACTGAGTTGTCTTCATGGTCTGATTTTGAATGTTTTTCATTCAGATTCCAGTTTCTGAGGTACTCACCAATTCTGGTTTACCTAATCATCTTATCCTAATCCAATCTCCAATATGTATTTGATAATTTTATTGATTCATCCTGTTTTAATCCAAAAAAAAGGAAGTTGAAATCTTTTCAGTGTTGCCAGATCTACCATAAATACCGACTTTTCATGCTCTCTGTGACTACCAAGGTTGCTAGAGCTGAGGGCTACGTTCAGCGGCAGGTCGGACCATGGTCAATTCGTCTCAATTCGTTCAGACCGTAGTCAGACTATGGTCCAGCCCGTGGTCCACGTAGTCTCATTTAAAAATCGGGCCAAGCACGGTCTAAATCGTTCAGTCCATTGTTTCCGTCAGTAAACGTCAGTTATATTTGACATGAATTTATGACATGCAAATGCAATTGAATTTGAACGAATCTCTTCGCGGGTGAGGTAACATGATGGCCAGCAAGTTCAAGAGATATTGCTCTGTGCCGCAGTGTAAACAGTATAAAGATACAAGAAGTATAAGTATACACAGCTTTTCAACCAGATGCAGAATCATACAGAATGTGACAGAACATATAAAAAAATGGGGGTAGCCCATTCCCGAATGTACGTCTGTCTATAGTAGATACTAGATACTTCTAAGAAACAGATTAGGTATAAAGGTAATTTCTTTCAATTTTTCATCTAATCAGTGTTTTATATACTCAATGTTCTTTTCTTTCAGAGGAAAGCGATTCCAAATGTATATTTTTTGTGGAGCAGATATACAATACACTCACAGAATTCACCGATTATACATTGCACCAAAATGTAAAACCTGTGATTTATATGAATCTGAATGAAAATAAGTGTGGCATTTTGGTACAGAGGATAAATGTGTTTTCAATCATTCTCCAATCTATACCAACTATAACTTATAATGAGTAACAGGAATGAATATGATGATGACACAGATGCTGAAAGGATATAGGTAGACCTTCCTTACCAGTTTTCATGAAACTTTCACCACGACTGATCATTATTGTTGTGAACATGCCAATGCAGTTTCCATATAATAGACAAGCCAGTGCGATTCCGAATTTTCATACTTTCTCAGTAATAATAAATAATTCAACTACAACACCTAATTTTGTTTTATTCCAACATAATCTAGAATATGATTAACAATATGAATAATTTGAAACTTCATTTCATTCATTCTTTATATCATAGATTTTTGCAAATTCTTCATCAAAATCGATGCTGTTGTGGAAAGTAGTCTGTTGGAGAGGAATACAATATACACAATGAATACATATATTATGTACTTTGTTCTTCAGATTCTTGATATCAATGAAATCTCAAATTTTGTTCTTCTTGCTCCCTTGTGGAAATGTATGTAAGGCATATAATGGAAAACAATTAACATCAATTAATAATGAAAGTTGGAAATTACCTATATCAGACTCACGTTCAAGTTTCTTTTCATCAACAGCAATTGAAGTTTCATAGGAAAATACAACAGTTTCGTCAATCCTTGTCTTCATTAGTGAAAGCTATTGTAGGCTCTACTTCATATACATTGCCTGCTCTACAAGAACAAACACAATCATGCCCAATCGTTCGCTGGACGGCAACAATTTCAGAACAGCAGAAGTTTGCAGAACCTGCCCAATAATCTCAAGTTTCTGTTTCTGTACACTTCTAACTTGACACGAATAACGACAATTCCAGGATGGTAATCTGTTCACCATTCACCATCGGCCAATATCTATTATCAATATATTCGCGAGATTGTCCACCGAATTGATTTCCACAAGCACCATCGTTCAAAAATCACTATAACTACGTAAATTTCAAAATGATAATGGAATTATCACATTGAAAATGGGGCTTCTCATGACAACTTTGACAGGTAATTAAACAAATTTTGGACTTGCACACACATTTTAACCTGACTTTTGACCTGGAGACGGCATAATGTATCTGCTTCTATGGTCATAAGGCGAATCCCTAGCCTACGGCTCATGCTGCAAACTTCATTCTCGTGGGAAATTACTATTATTCCATGCTTGTACTATAGCCCAACTTATAAACACCTCATATAGCCCTCAATCCCGCGCTGATTATAATTTTTCCTCCCAGAGGCTAGTGAGATGTCCGAGGCACTCTATTATAAACTAACTGAAAATGAAATATGAAATACCTATGATCAAAAATGTCGCTGGATCCCGGAAAGACTTCTGTTCTTTTTTTGTGAATTTTTGCGACATTTTTTATATTCAGCAGCTGGCAACATCCGGGTTCCTGTAGTATTGAATTCGTGCGCTCATGCGCTGCGTGAACACAGGCGCCGGCGCCGCGGCGCCGGTGGCTAACTCGCGAATCGTCATTTCGTCATTATTTGACAAGTCGCCAATCGCCATCGCCATTCAAAAACAGAGATCTCCTGGTCTCGTGCTGGTAATGTGGTAATCCGTAATCCTGATAGTCCTGATTCTCCAGATTCATCCAGATTAGTTGTCATCCTGTGTCTACCCTTTCATTCGTCATTCGGTTTTCGTTTTCGATTACTTGCTTGAACCTCTTGCTGTACAAATTTCTCTTGAAGCATAAATGTGAATAGGCCATCAACAGCAATGGAAGAAGAGACAGATCAAAGTGGCAAACCTTTCAAAATAACCAATTCTTCTAGAGAAAGTCGTAAAGGATTGGTGGCCTGCTCTCTGGAGGACCTAACCTCAAAAGTGTTGGAGAAACTTGCCATAGCAAACGAAAACAAAATTACTGTAGTACTGGAAGTAGATGGCACAGAAATCGACGACGAAGAGTATTTCGGCACTCTGGATCCCCACACGAGTTTGATGATCCTAACGGAAGGCCAAAACTGGTCACCTCCATCGCCTCCTTGCAGAATTAACATGGACCAAGTTGATGATGCCAATGGGGGTACTGAACTGGCAGGTCTTGTGGGTAAGCTGAAGCACAACTTATGCCATGTGTCTCTGTTAGGGGGTGCAGAGCTGGAACTGCTCAGTGATATGGATCCAGAGTCTCTGGTTGACATTACATTCCCAGATAAGATATTTTTGGAGCAGTTGAAGGAAGCATCAGGCAGATTTTTATGTGAAAAGAGACAGGCTCAAGATGCTCTGGAATTGCTGAGGTTGTATAGAGAAAGAGAGGCTGAAGGGGGTAACTAGAGGCAGATATTATTGATGGAATATTTGGAAACCAATTCTGTTGAATGTAAGAATGACATTGTAAATTACTGAAGAATCTCTATGTCTTCATTTTTATTTGTTTGTTGAAGGTGGTTGCCTATTGATATCCCTTGAACAACTTATACACAAGAAGAAGACTGATTTGCCAAGGAGTAAATTAATGTAATGGCACAACTACTCATTTGCTCAAGTCACTGACTCACATCTTCAGAAGGAAACCAAAAAACACCAAGTATTATGGTATTATGTATTTGAAATTGCACAGCATCTCATTACCTATGAGGACTTGAAAGATTGTCACTTTCAGGAACCCCAAAATTGTTATTGAATTCACCAGGTGACAGATACAAATGATTTTGAATCAGACTGTTTTTTATAATGAGTATCTTGATAGTAATATTGAAATAGCTTGTGAAAAGGCAAATAATTTATTATCTCATTGATGGATTCAATCCCTTTCACATGCACATCTATATATATATGTGATTAATAATGACAAATAAAGGATGACCATTATCAAAATTTTTAGATAAAATTAGCAAGTCAACTTTTTATTGGAAACCTCATATCTGTAGATATTTTGTTTCCATAATGGTCTCTTGTAAACAGCACAACCCAATGATCCACAATATAAGTCACTAACAACCTTTTATAATAACTAATATGTAACTTTGTAACTTATGTATCCAATTTGAAAGTATATGTTGAACAAAATCAGTATTGCATTGAATATTGCTATAGATTATAAATATTAGAACCTAACTTCTCCATGAAGTGTTATCCCAAAAATTTATTACTGGAAATAATATGAAAACTGCCACAAAAATATTCAATTTATAATGTGGTTTATGAACTCAAAATTTCTGCTGGACAAGTCTCTTACAATTCACTCTTGCATTCATTCAAGTGGTATCAGAAATTTAGAGATAAGGCCTACAAGGTATACCTATGAATAATGTGATATGACCAGTTGATACCTGAAAAGCTATTTTGTTTGTGACATCATATTTGTGACACATGTTCAACCAACTTTGTACTTTAATTTTGTATCCTTGAAGCACAGAAGGGATTGTTATTCTGGTTTTTGCTGCATTTTATTCATGTAGGTACAGTTGTATTCAATCAAAATGCATACAAGTATTACAAAGTGAGGTCAACGTCGTCCTAGTTCTAGTTGTGTAAAACTGGTCAACATTTGGTAAACAATCAATACCGATAGCCCATTTTACGCAAATAAGGATGCAGTTAATGTCTCCCTAATACTCCCAGTGAACACAAACATCCCTGGGATGTCACATTCATGCCTCGCTAGGTAACAATGCGAGTCACAACAAACATCATTGGTATTACCAGGAGACTCTTTATTTCACAAAACATTCGCAATATTCCTCACATTTTATTAAATTTGAGACCTTAAATGTTGGTGAATTTATGAGTCTCCCTAACAACCAAGAGACTCACTGAAACCTCACATCCTTGTCTATTTATGTAACGAACGGAATAAATCAATTTTGATGTTGAATGAGGAGTCGCATAATACGTACTGTGATTTTCATTTGGCATCATAATGTGAATCATAAAATGACCAAAAGGGTCCGAAATAGCAGTCATTGTGATTTCACTAGGCCTCTCATTTCGAGTCACAGATGTGATGTGTGGCATGAATGTGATGCCCTCTTACATCTCTGGGATCAATCTGTGTTAACTGGACTTGTACTCTTTTTTTCAATACAACTCTGTTTCTACCATATGAATTAGATTAGGTTTTATCAATGGTTTTATACAGTAAGAATCCTAGGAGGATTTTTTCATAAGTATTTATCATAAATAGGATTGTATAAATTTGTCACATTGCAGACCCCTAAGCAAATTTGAAAGCTATAATGATGCAAGGTTGTAGCAATTACTGAAACAGACGTTCAGCAACATTGCAAATGTAAATTTGTAAATGTAACGTTCCAGCAATGGCACAGCAACATGTAATATTGCTGCAATGCTACAATATCAACCTTCACTTTTGCAATATTGCTGAACGTCCGTTTTAGTTATTGCTTCAACATTGCATCAACATAGCTTTCAACTTTGCTTAGTGGGGAAGGATTATCAGAAATTTGTTCATCTACCTGTCATGTTTACTGATGATTCTTAGAAAATATTGATAATCCCTGAGATGTTATGATGATTATCATCTATTCAGACATGTTTAGATTTAGATCTATGTTGGTAGGAAAGGGATTAGCAGGAAAAAAAAATATTCCTAGTAATCATTATGAATATAAGATGTGCAACTGATTACTTCGTTAAATCTTTGCCACCTTTTATACTGCCTAAATCAAAATAATTGATATTTTCGGCAACATGAATATGATGGATTTTGGATTTCTTTTCAAATGATCTGGAGCCTTATTTTTCAGTTCATAGTGACATTGTTCAGTGGAAGTTTTTGAAAACATTAGATCTCAAAAAATCATGGCGGATAATGATTTGAAACTTTTCTATTAATTTTTATTAAAGATTTTATAGCACTTACCATATGTAATTTTCATTTCTCAATCCCTTGAGACATAAAGTTCTGAAATTACCTATTTACCTACCACCTTTCAATTAAATGATCCAGTTGTAAATGAAAGTAATCCATATAAATAACACTTCATATATTTCCCAATTCAATTCACTAATCCACAATTATTTTTGAAGATAAACTGGAAACTTATATATATAATAAAATTACTTGCCTATACCTACATATTGATGATCTAATCTAAATAATCGATAGTAAATACGATAACTTATTTTTGGACAGAAAAAAAAAAACAAAAGATTTTGATACATATATAACTAGAATAACAACCATTGTCCATCTAAATGAAAACCTACTAGGCGACCTAGTGCCAGGAGGTATAATAGCTCCTGCCTTCTAACTATCTAACTATAGGTTGTCATCTAGAACGACAATGAACAAACTATGTTGATAAAATATACATACATATACAGGGTGTTTTAGAGTTGTGACAAAAACCAGGGGAGATTTCTCTCAACAAAATATGAAATGGTTAGATAAGAAGATAAAGGGTGTTTGAGAAAAATTGTTTTTCATTATAATATCTTGGAAAAATATTTCTCACAAAATTCGAAGATATTATACATTTCAGAGGGGGTATCCAGGCATATTTTTATTAATCCACATGGATATCTAATACATGCCGAGGTATGGTCGTAGGTATCGTTCATTTTTCTACGAAAAGATAGCAGGAGACAAACGTCGTATTGTTAGTGGGTTCATCTGAATATTTAAGAAGAACAAGAAAAAACACAGAGGGTGAAATTTTTTTAAAAAAAAGGCCGACTTGCTCGATGGGTACGCCCCTGGAAATTCTGGATCAAATCTAATTGCTCCAGTAAATGTCTGATAACTGTGAAAATGAACCATAAAAAAATCATTTAAATCAGCATAAGCGTTTTCAAGATATTCATAAGAAACTCTTTTTTTTTTAAACTTGGACACCCTCGGAAACGAAGCATTTTCGGATCCATGTTCATGTAAACTTTTTTTTCATATTTTGTTGAGAGGAATCTCCCTTGCTGTTCTCACCACAACTCTGAAATATCCTGCACGAAAAAAAAAGGAATTGTTCAATCAAGCTAAAGCACGAACTCTGGATCTTATTCAATCAAGAACATCCATGATAGTAGGGGAGGCAAATCGGCTAAATAGGGATTTACTCGAGCGTCGTGGGGACGTATCAGATTGTGAAGATTAGATGTGAAAATGAAAAAAAGTTTATGATATGTGACCTTTCACTGGCGGGGAGAGCGTATAAGTACAGGTGATCCAAAATGTAAAAAAAAACAGTCACATAGGAATACTCTAGCGCATCACGTGTTTCTGATAACCGAAAAAATTAATCAGCCGGTTTGCACGGTGGGGGTGGCCGTACGAAGGGATAGAGGATAGGTAAAAAAAATTATTCGAGCCCGTCAGATATTGAGAAGGGACGATAGGTGCGAACCTCCAGGTAGCTATATCTCATTCGAAAGACTGACGATTTGGACGCGACCAAAAGTCATGACCAAAATTTGAAAATGAAAAAAAAAAAAAACAAGACGTGACCTTGAAGTACAGACGCTTCATCTTAATGTCCTTGTCGTAATCACCCATAATCTGACAATTATCCCAGAATTGTACGATTCATAGAACATTCCATCCAAATATCCTAGGAACGTTCCTAGAATATTCCATTATATTCTATGAATATTATTCAGATATGACCATAGAATCTTCTGTTCGAATATTCTAGGTATGTTTTCTAGGTATGCTGTTAGTATTTATTATTTAGATATTCTGAGTAAGAGAATAATTTTATATACAGCAGGATCTTTCATCGATTATTTGAAATCCTTTTCGCTGATTTTGATAAAACTTGTCATGCTCATCTGCGGTAGCAATTGGGTTTAGTGAAATCAAATTTTCCGCTATTTTCTCCAATTCTCTCCCTACCCTACTCCAGTTATAACTCAGAATTTCGAAGTTTTTATTTTTTTTTCCTCCTATATCGATCCCTGAAATATTTTCCATGCGATTCAAAACACCCTGTATACTGAGAATATTCCTAAACCATTCTGAGGATGTTCTATATATTCAAATAAATGTTCTGAGAATGTTCTGAAAAATATTATGATACGTTCTTGAGACGTGATTTTTCCTCCCATTTGCATGTTCCTAGGGTATTCTAAGTACGTTCAGTGTACCTTGTGAGAACATTCTGAGAATATTCGATTTCTTCCATGGGAATATTCTAAGAACGTTCTCAGGATCAAGTCGTGCTGTCTGGGATGTAGAGGAATTACCTTAATCTGACGGTTGGATTTTTTTTGTTAACTGATGGAAGTAGGTAATAATTAAAATCTAAAATATACAGGGTGGATCAGGTTTTTGTAGCAGGACTTCAACAGCTCGAAGAATTCAAAATTTTGAGATGGACGGCTCATGTAGACATATAGGGTGGACCAATAGTGTGACAAAATGAGATATAACGGCTTTGCTGTTTGAGATAGATGAACAAAAATTCTTGAGATAGTCTTATCTCATGAGCAGTACATTTCTGAAATATTTTGCGTTTTACGCACACCTTGTATTTTATTGCATTTTCAGGTTCCTTCTTATGAGCTGATTGATAACAATATACAAAAGTGATACTTTTCCTACGTTACCACAATGGGCGTGTACTCGTGTACAGCTTGGTAGAACTTTTAACTCAAACCATGTTTATAAATGATCCTTTCATATACATAAATAATGATTGACGACATAATTCGATCGAAAAATTTACTGGAATGTTCAATTTTTGGACATAAATAATAGTACCACCTGAAAACGGCCCTCTTATGACGTAGAAACCTCATCTCGCCATAGTTAAAAGAAAATACCAAACGCCGGACGGAGACTGAGGCAAAACTGATATATTAATTCTTTCAACTGTGTTCTGGCGCTAATTCACTCTGCCAGAAATCATGTATCATTCATCTCTGTCTGGAATAGTCCTGTTTCAGTATTAGGGTTTTGACGTCACATCATCGCCTCGTTCAAAGGTCCGAAAAATCGGGGATTTCAATAATTTTTTATAAAAGGTAGGGAGCTCACAGCGATAAACGGTTTGCGGTGGTGAGCTAGTTTGGGTGAGTTCTATCGAATTATGGAATAAAAATTTTGTGATATAAGCCCAAAATCGGCAGATTATGTTATTTCCGAGATCCGTGACTGATTGGCTTCAAAATAATAATAAAAAAAAAATCAACCGCGCGCGAGAATGTACAGGTGACGATTTTTTTGCAACTTTGTGGCTCTCCCATTTTCTTATGTCATGCTCAAATCGTCAGATTATTGAAATGCACACTTTTCTGCATTTAATTAACGTACTATGTCTCAATCTGACGCGCGGCTCGAGTATTTCTGACGATCGATTTTTTTCTAAACTGATCGGCTGCCGTAAACTTTCGGCACCATATAAAGGGCCCAGGTATGGTGGGAGTACTTCACAAGGTCCAAGGATCCGGATACCCCCCTTGCCCCCTTATGTTAATCTGCCCCGCTTGAGTAAATCCCGAAATCCCCGCTTGGGCTCCCCTACTATGGATTATTTATGAAGATAATATATTTAATTGGCTCAAACAATCGGCTAAGGCCTCGACTATCAACTTGCAGACTCGACTATATAATAGACAGATTTTCGTCCTTGGTACTATTATTGAACGAATATCTACCGAAAAGCTTCATAAACAGTCAAGTAATGTTTTCTTTGCTAAAATCACTACCAAAAAATCGAAATAATACACACAACTCACATGCAAGCAAATGAACCATTTCAAAACAATGTATTTTCATATTGTTCTACAACCAGCCACTTTAGCGCTGCGATATTGAAAATTGGAGAAAACTAGGCATAAATGATATCGTAGACAGATCGTGGCAAGTGGTCGGAAATGATGGCTTGAACTTTTTCTCTTCGGGTTACTGGGGTGTACTTGTTGAGAGGAAATGTGCGGACTATAGCATCGTTGAGGGCTCTCAGGACGGGAGATAGGTCGCATTCCTGCTGAACAGACATTCATGAGAAAACTGTGCTCAATTATACAGGGTTGGTCATTACCAGGGGCGTCAATAATGTATTTTTTCGGGGGAGGTAATGGCTTTTTGGTTTAGGTAGTGAAAAAAAAATCATGTTATAGATCGAGTGCCGTACATAATATACAGGGTGGCATTGAAATAAGTGCAAATATTTCAAACCCTGAGAAAGCTCCGCCATAAGTTTTACACTGTAGCAATTCTAACGTCATCTCCAGTGGCATAATTAAGGGGGGATCCATGGGGTCTGCCCCCCCATAGCTGTCTGAAAATCCGAAAAATCTGATGAACAATTCTTAATAATGGAAAAATAGACATGAGTCTCGACATGAGTATAGGAAATATGACGAGAATTCAATATGTAATTTGTTAGGACCACAGAACGAATATCGCGGTTCGGAGGTTGTCATTGGAAACGTACGATAACTATATATAGTTTTGGAGAAATGGAGAAAATAAAAAAAAACGATCAATTTTTCGTGGCCATTCCTCACGACTCCAATATGTGAACGAAATTCTAGTTCTTCATTGACAAATCCCCTATACAGGGTAATTCTGTATACATCAGACAGATTTCGCTTTTTCTTGCTCAACATGTTCGTCCTAATTATACGATTTCTCAAAAGAGATTAAGTTTTCATGAAAAAATTAACCTTATTTTTCCGCATTTTCAATCACCTACGGTTTCCGGCGAGGTTTCCGGTTTACCTGAGATTGGGTGTACTTCTCAAGACTTCTCAATGCCTTCTCGAAATAGTCCTCGCCGTATTCCGTCCTCTGTTCCTGACACAACTGCTTCCACATGTCCTTGGCTTGAGCCAGGATGGTTTCGTCAGACAACCAGGAAGAACCGGACGTTAATTCTCCAGGTGCCACTACCACCACGTCGACACCTAGAATTGAGGAAAATACGTGTTCAGTACTATATTTTTCCTCCGATTGGCAGCAAATATTAATTTTGCTGACACATATCAATCAGCAAAGTATTACTTTTCCTGCCTAGGCAGCAAAGTGAGTACTTTGCTGCCTAGGCAGCAAAGTGGTTACTTTGCTGATTGATTTGTATCAGCAAAATTAAAAATCCATAAATCGTTTATAATTTCCTTCATATTTTATCCGAGACTTCTCCGGCAACAAATTCAACTCTATATTTTTTGCCACCTCCCTTATTAATGGAGGTGTAAGTATACTTCCAGGTCGCTATCACTGTCCATTATATAATAATTTGAATATACCAATATTGTTTCGCACAACTGTCAGAAATTTCATGACTTGTCAAACCAACAACTGCGATTTCTATCAAATTTTATTTTAATCGAACACTATACAGGAAGAATAAAGAGATTGTGGGAATTGTATTAATTCGCAAACACATTATTCTCCCATATCATTATGAACAATCGGAGAAAAAATCATATGTTCAACTCGGCAGCACAGTAGATTGACTGCCTTTGCTGGATTCCTAGCCTCGCTACGCTCGGCTATGAATTCAGCCACGGCAGTCAATCTACTACTTTGCTGCCTAGTTAAACAAATAACTATTTTCGGCAACCGTCCGGGAAGTGCTCACTTTCCGGACGCTTTTTCTTTGAGAAAGTAGCATTTTTTCGGCCTAGCTTGGGAAGTACGTTGTCACTTTAACTATACAAATTTTGGTAGATATGGTTTTGATTAATACAGATGATAATTACCATAGCAGCGAAATATCGGCTGGCAGCTATTTGACATGACATTAGTTGACATTTTGATTTTTAAAAGTTTGGTTGCAATTATCGCAATAAACTATATGTCGAATCGAAAGCAGCTGCGATAGTGAGTAATGTCCATACGAAATTTCAAATGTGAAATTTAGTATATAGGTATAGATATTCTGTTCAAATTTCAGTATGTGAAACAAATGAATATTGATAAAGAAAAAATTGTATTCCACAAAGAAATATAAAATGGGAATGTGTCTCATTGATTCGTTATTCTACATGGTTGCCGGAAAAGTAGTGTACGCAGAACGTCCAAAAACTTTGGACTCGCTGACTTGCAGGACTCGCCTACGGTTCGGCCTAGAATTTTGTCTACTCGTCCAAAAAAACAGTATTTTCCGCACATGTTACGTAAATTACTATTGTCTTCTCCCGTATTACAAAATGCGAATCAAATATCTGCTACCGATTGATTAATATTGTTCATTTCAACACGGATTTTCCTTATTGAACAGATTTTGTCTAATAAGACATGTAGATATAGGAGCCGTTTTACTGATCAAGGTACCAAGACCTGCACCTCAAAAAGTTTCACAATTGTTGAAGAAAGCGAAATAGGAGCCTTGAACTTAGTTGAAAAGTACATTGCACTACGGCCGAAAGGATTTAAGCAACGTATTTTTTCAACCTACAGAAATATTAAATGCATTGATTTACCTGTAGGTAAAAATACTATACGAAGTGTTCCTTCTATCATAGCAAAATACCTTAATTTGAAAAACCCGGAAGGATACATCGGACATTGTCTACGCCGAACGTCGTCAACGCTTCTTGTTCAATGTGGTGCTTCCTTTGAATCATTAAAATTACATGGAAAATGGAAGAGTAGAACGGTAGCGGAAAGCTATATTGAAGAAAGTATCTCCTCGAAGAACTAAACTGTTACAATGATAACCCATTCCATTTCCGAACAAGAAAATGTTAACCTTCAGAACGAAACCAAATTTACATTGAGAAGTTCATCGTCGGCCAACTCACATAACTTCAGGAACATTTGAAAATATAATCGCTATTTGAGAGAAAATAATTAGTCCTTTTTTATGTACAATTATAAATAAGACTTTTCTGATTAATTAATTTATTGAACTACAGAAAAAAACAATTAGCGGGCGTTATGATTCATAATCTTCTTATTCTTAATGCACTAAAGCGTTATGAGTCTGTAAATAGCAACCGCTACCAAGGTATTATAAAGCAGTAATGGACGAGTGAAAAATAATAGTAGGTACATTATACAGCAAGGGACAGAAATGCAAGATTTTTTTCAAGTGTTATCACTGGATATATGATCCCACTTGATCCTCGAGTGTATCATTGGCACATCTCTCACAGCTGCGAATGTCGGAATCCTACCTCAATGATTATTACGGAAGATACAGAGGTGCAACCATGAGAAATGTGACACATTGAGTATATTTTTGCGAATATTTCTGAAGTTGTCGAAGAAAAAGGTAGGTTGATATATATATTTGAATATGGAATGCTTAGGACTATCCAACTGTGCTAAAATATACGGGGTGTACCATTAGAAAAGAAAAATAATCGACTGCCGTATCTTCATGATGTCACCCTGTATAAAAGTTCTGATGATGCCATGCCATGGATGCGTCATTCTATATGGATAAAAATTTTAAATTTTCCAATATCTCTCTTCATAAATTACTCAGAAAAAAAGAACGAAATCGGCAATTTTTCAATTTCCCCCTGTATCTCTGAAACGAATGAAGATATCAAAATTCCAATTGTACAATTCGAGGTTTCTCTAGAATCGAACCCGTAACATGTATATCGATTTTTTGATAAATCCTTCAGTTACTGAGATAGCCTATGAAAACGCCCAATTTCGCCTACCCTGTATGTCATTAAATGTCGAAAATCGAGAAAGCAATGTATGTTAGGTGCGTTTTATTGGCAAGATTTTTACACCGGAATGACAATTCATGTCGTTTTATTGAACGAAATTCTGAAACTGGTTTCAACTTTTCATACCGTCTTCTCATACGGAATGACAGGAAGACGATTGTGGAGGGAGTATATAAAATGGCGGAAATGGTGGTATTCTATATAATCTAACCTCAAAATCTGACCTAAAATTGCCGTAAAGTGAACTCGCCTCAGGAAATATTTTGAAATTATTCTCAATTCTACCCAGAATACTTTCAAAAACTTCTGGACTCATCCTGAAATTACTTCTGAATGTTCAAAAATACATTTGCGGTATTACTTGATGAACAACAAAATCCCGAAATTATCCTAAAAAAGATCAGCTGAATGTCACAACTTTCAAATATGAATCACATCGTTTTATTGGTCGTCAATTCTACTGCCACCAGTAGGAAACCAAAAAAACGCACCTAAGACTCCATATTTGTAGATAAATAAATTAATATCACCTCTGCTCCTCAACTCCTTCCTGAGGCAGTCCGCCTGTGTCTCGAGCGCAGCCAGTAGGCCGCAATGCACGCCCCTGGCCGGCGACGCCACGCGGCACAAGCCCGAAGTCACCACGACGATCCGGCCTTTGGCGCGGCGCACCAGCGGCAGCATGATCTGCGTCACGCGCGTCGGGCCCACGAAGTTCACGTCCACCGCCTTCTTGATCACCTGGAAACGAACGAGTACCACTGACATAAGAGTCATAAGACATAACTAGAGTCACTAGATGGTATTAGTTTGATAAGAGTTCGGACACAGAAATGACAACGGTTAGGGTTCTTGAATGCTCAGATTTATAAAGTTACACACCATGCATTGTGACAAGAGCACCATAGTCGTCCCGCGCTTTTTCATTAAAAATTTTTTGAATTTGAAAATTCATTTTATAAACGTCAGAATTGAAATAAAATTTCATAATTATTATACTTTCGAGATGAAAGCAGCTATGGAAATCACTTGCTGTATAATAAATTGTGCCAATTTTGAAACAAATGGATATCATTTATTCGATTTTCCAATTCAAATATCAAGCATTCGCTTATGGAAGGAAGATATGAAACGGCCTGGGTGGAGAATCAATTTGAAGACGAACGAAATTTGTGAAGTACTCATTGAAATTCACTTCTTATAACAGCATCTGATTAGAATGAATCTATATTTTAGGCCCATTTCCAAACAGAAGATTTCAAAATCTGTTTGAGAGAATCTGCTGTTCCATCAATTCACAAAGCAGACGATTTCAAGAACAAAATTCCATTATTATCATCACACAAAATACAAAACAAAATAATCATGGAAGAAGGAGAAATGCTCGCAAAATTACCTTATGAAATTGAAAATTTGAAAACGAAACTAAGAAAAGCAAGTAAACTCTACAACGTGATATATTATTATTGAAAGGCGTTTTTGGTGCTGACCGCGAATTCAAAATTCAACAGTGAAAAGTGAATAGATATTTATGTATCAAGGGAATTATTATAAGGGCCTTAACCTTCTAGTAGTCGCGCCTTGAAAAGGACAAAGTCTGTCGCTGCGGAGTCTGACTCCGCAATGGAGAATTGAGGTGGTTTGAACATGATGACTTGAATTTTTCCAAAGATTTCATCAGTATGCCATTGGACATGAGTATCTCAAAATTGCAATAAAAATATGTTAATTCAATAACAAAACCGAAAATTACCAAAAGAAAACTATCGAAGATTTGATAACTAGAATTCGAACAAAAAAACTATTATTCGAGGACGAACTGGAAATGTTTCAATCTCAAACCACCAATGACTCATCGGCAATCTCTGCAAATGAATGAAGCGGGTTCTAATAAGCACATGAATTCTTCACATCATGTACTACAAAGCAATTGGGTGTGTCTATTTTTTTCTTCTCAGCGTTGCATCGATCATGTGTGTTTTCAAAACGGTATTTTATGACATATCATTCATCAAATGAGACAAATTATTTTCCTAAAATGCCCAAAATAGCTGCAAAGTGTAACTGCGATATGCAATATAACCAAGACGTCTGAGGTCACTGCGGAGTACGACTCCGCACTACGCTATGGAATTCAAAAGCGAAGCAATTTAGCACATTGGTAATACTATATTCTTACTGAAGTTGCCATTGTAGGAAGGTACTGAGTGCGGCGAAATGAGGATCTATATCGATCCATGTTACTTAGCTCTTAGGGCGGGCGCTAAGTGAAGTTGCTGAGAACTTAACAAAACCAAGTATTTGGTAGGTCTCGTCAAAATAAATTACTATTTTCCCATGAAATCTTTATCGAAAAATGATTTGTTCTGTATTTCAACACCATGTATCTCACAAATGAAGCATTTCCAGACACAAGCTTATATAGACTTTATTTCTTAAAATTGTCTCAGGAATACTTCACTGGAGTACAGTTTCACATACAATAAGGAATTGTAGCTATAAATTTATCCATATGTATATATTCTCTGATATTAAAATGTTGTTAGGTACATGCATTTTTTTCATTGATATAAATCTTGTTCTGCTAGAAGTATATCACTATATAAATTGAAGTGGGTGTTCGTACCCTATATCCATTGTCCATCTACGGCTATGATCGATTTGACAGAAAATATAACCTCTAAAATCGTATCTGACAATCAGGCGCTACTAGGGAAATTGAAAAGACAAAGAGCAGAATATATGTCTTATTCTTTTATTCACTTAAACCATTGTATTATAGAAAATAGAAAAGGACAAAAGTTCAGCTGTGTCCGAACTATTATCAAACTAATACCATCCAGTGACTCTAGACATAACTACTATTTAGACTGAGATGTATTTAGACTCTGGTGTGCCCACACTCTTCAATTGTTTCGTCAGACTAACTCTCGATATGAACAACTGAATGCGAGTTCGGAACGTAGGGTTCTCATATCCGATGATAGATGGCGTGAAAGATGGATAATTTCTTGAAAAATTCCATAATGCGTTTCGAATGTTACTATGAAGTTGAACCAGACTTTCAAGGATGTTTTTCTTCTTTCGGAACTCGAAGAGTCCTGTCCTGCACGAATTCAATAATAGCTGAATATAGAGTTCCTAAATGTACTTGACACTGCTGTTTTGACGTTTTTTGTATATTCAGAGTACGGACACTATGACAAGCACTGACAATCAGACATAACCCCAAATAAATTGATGAAAAAAACGGGAACTGACAGTACACGGACGTACATGACATAAATTTCAAAGGTTTGACAAATTAAGAATTAGATGCAAGTTTGTGCAGTTTCCAACTGTGAAAACACGGGAAATCAATTCACTCTATTCGAATTTCTTGGTAGGATATAGAACATTTTTCAACGCATTTTCATCAGGTACACTTCAGAACGGAAAATTTGATGTTGAAGAATAGGATCGTATTAAGAGAAAGAGTCGAACCCACAATTTATAAACTGAAAATAATCTTATTCCAATTCAGACCAACAAGAAACGGAAAACTTGCAGATAATGAAATTCATTTCGAATATTTTTTGAAAGAAAAAGACTTGAAAATCAAATTTTTAGAGCAGGAATATTAAAAAATCCGAGGCATACGAGTGGAAGAGAGTGAGGAATTCAGGAAACGAATAGAAGAAAAAAATAGAGAGTTGGAAAATAAGTCTGAATGTGCATGTTCATGCGTAGTTGAGAAGTGATAGACGACTACATAGCTCCTAGTGGATTTTGAACCACTTTTTGGGTAGGTACCAAGATACAAGCAAGATATTATCAGAGCACAGAATAAGAACGTTTAACGAGCAACTTTAGCAATGTGAAGGGCAATCTATAGTCAGTCGAGCGCTGAAGTCCATTTGGTGAATTCATGAACGACACGAAGCCCTAACCCGAGAAAATCCTGTGGTCATAGTTTATATATTTACTCACTTTTGGTACAGAAAATTAAACGAATGTTTGGATTTTCAAATAATCTTCACACATTGCAGCAGTCAGTCCATGATGAAAGCACAATGCACTCACACAACTAATAATATAATATCAATACCTGCTCGATAGACTACTAATGTTCTTAATTTATAATATTTTTATTTGAAATTGGAACAAAATTTTTAATTTTATGCTGAAAACATGACACTCGTGACATATATGTCAAGATCAAGATGTTTCCGCACGGATCATTTGTTGCGCCCTGTATCTTTTGCATCCAGTCTCTAGATGCTTCTTATCAGCTATTATTGAATTCTTGCATCTTCAACGGGACTCCTCAGGTCCCGAAAGAAGGAAAACATGCACATCCTTGAAAGTCAAGTTCAACTTCTTATAAGATACGCATTTTGAAATTCATCCATCTAGGTATCATCGAATATGAGAACCCCGCACGTTCCGAAGTCGCATTCATCAACGGGATTCTTCAGGTTCCGAAAGAATGAAAATATCTCCTTGAAAGTCAGAAAATTCAGAGGCCGAATTCCTTATGTATAAATAAGATCTCATAAACTTTCAACAAACACTAGTATAATTTTCGAGATACATCAGCGGATTCATTGAAAAACACATTATCTACTTTTGACTAGATTAATTTTTTTAGGTTCCACTATGGACAAGTAGGTTTTTATGTCCCAATGAAGCCCTTCAAATTTCGTTGCGATATACCAGGTGGTTCAAAAATTAGTAAGGGGGGAACAGACTTCAGACGGACACTGTATATTATTATGCTGCCGGTTAATCGAACCCGGCCGATGGCCATCAGATGAGAAATTGGTTCGTGGTAGCATTTCAGCTCCCTACATGTGGTTCTAAATCCACTATAGACTGTAAGTCCACTTTCACTTTAACTTTCACAAGCCCTTCGAAGGCTTATGAGGGTTGCTTCGGCAGCCGAAGTGATAGGGTACAATATACAATACAATAAAATACAATGAAATACACTGATTGATATGAATACTGCTGTACGTATAGGAATCTCGTCACCATCGGAGGAATCCTAGATGGTATAGGTACCTAGATACTGATCTTAAGAATCTTGAAATTATGATTTCCATTAAATCTACTATATAGTATATGAACCATGAGTTTAATATAAGTACCTATAGTTATTAGGTGTATATAATAGTTCATCAATTGGATCTTCGACATCTCAATGTCCCTAATGTTAGATAAATATTAAGATCAATGTTTATAAGGCATATAGGTATATATATTGTTGTTTTGATTTTGTCACTTTTATTTCTGCTGAGTGTTATTGAATTGAGAGAATCAGAGAAAATTATATTTAAATAGTTATTTATGCAACAAGTGCAAAAAGTGAATGTTTATTGCATTCGACGTGAAATTGTCCGACGAGGCCGCTAGGCCGAGTTGGACAACACGTCGAGTGCAATAAACAATTTTTGCACGAGTTGCATACAACATTTTTTCTACGTTCATGCAAAAAGCAAAAAATGATTTATTGAGGTGCGGCACTAGGTACAATTCTGTTAATTGTCAGAATTAATTTTTGACTGACGTTTCTATAACCACAGTTGCATTATAGAAAATGTTTGGTCATGATGACAGCACGTTGAAGTAGAATGACAGATGAGTGCAATAAAAACTTCATTGCACTAAGTGCAATAAAGAACTTCTTTTTCCACTGAATATAGTTCAATAAAGTTCTGTTTTTTGCATGAATGTAGAAAAAAATTATATATCTTCTATTT